TATTCCTTGAGTTTTAGGAAAAAGACAAGGATGTTCATTATTAACTTTTCTATTGAACATTGGACTAGAAAGAAATTGAAGAACTATATAAATGTTTAAATTTAAGCTAGAGAAATAAAAAAGAGCTAAATAAATACTTATTACTAAAAGTTGCAGTAGTGTTAAGACATCAATTCTCCAAAAATTAAGACAACTTTAAAGAAGAGCAAAGTGAGAGGACTTTATGTTACCAGATATTAAGACTTACAATGAAGCTACAGTAAGTAAAATACTATGGTGCTGCCACAAAGACAGACAAATAATCAGTGGAACAAAATGAAGACTCCAGAAACAGGCCCAGGCATATGAAATTATTTATGCAATGATCTATGACAAAGTTGAAGTAGGGGAGGGATGGCCATTTCAACCAAAAGAAATGGTGCCAAGTTAATTGGGTATCCATATGGAACAAAAAGAACTTTGACCCCCACCTCATACCATACACAAACTCAATTTGATGTAGCTCACAGAATATAAAAGGTAAAGTAATATAGTTTCTAGAAGATAACAGAGAACAAAGAGAATATTTCATGGCCTTGGGGTAGGCAAAGATTTCTTAAATAGGACATAAAAAAAAGTACTAACCCTAAGAAAAGATGAATATACTGGAATTTGTTATAACAAAGAATTTTTGTTTACCCAAAGACACCATTAGAAAGTGAATCAGAATGTCACATACTGGGAGAAGATGCCTTCAATACATATATCTGATAAAGGACTTATATCCAGAATATGTAAAGAATTGCTATAAATCAGTAAGACAAAGACAGCCCAATTAAAAAATGGGCAAAAGTCTCAGAAACTTCATAAAAGAGGAAATCTGAATGTCAACAAGCATTTTAAAGGGTGCTCAGCTTCATTAGCCGTCAAGGAAATGCAAATTAAAATCACAAAGAGATACCTCTACACCCCCATCAGAAGGACTAAAATTAAAACACTAAAAATACCAAATGTTGGCAAGGATGTGGAATAATTTTTTACTTACTGGCCAGCCTGTAGATTGGTACAATCACTTTGAAAAACCATTTGGCAGCTTCTACACCAAAGCTAAACATATGGCTATCTATGACCCCCAATTTACAGTCATGTGCCACATTTCAGTCAATGACTGACCAAATATATACCAAGGTGGTCTCATAACATTATAATGGAACTGAAAAATTACTATCATCCAATGACATCATAGAGCAACACATTCCCTTTTCTATGCTGAGACACACAAATACCGTTGTGTGACACTTGCCACTGTGTCCAGCACAGCAGCATGCTGGACGGGTTTGTAGCCCAGGAGCAATAGGCCATGCCACATAGCCTCGGTGTGTGGGAGGCTGTGCCACCTAGGTTTGTGCAGACACACTCCATGATGTCCCCACAGAATGAAGACATTACCTCATAACTCATTTCTTAGAACACAGTCCCATAATTAAGTGGCACATGATTATATTTATTTATTACTATTTTTTGTTATTTTGGTTGGTGCAAAATGGCTTTGCATTTACCTCACTAGAGATATTGAGCTTCCTTTCATGTTTTTTTTTTTTTTTTTTTTTTTGAGACAGAGTCTTGCTTTGTTGCCCAGGCTAGAGTGAGTGCCGTGGCGTCAGCCTCGCTCACAGCAACCTCAAACTCTGGGCTCAAGCAATCTCCTGCCTCAGCCTCCCGAGTAGCTGGGCTACAGGCATGCGCCACCATGCCCTGCTAATTTTTTATATATAAGTTGGCAATAATTTCTTTTTATTTTAGTAGAGACGGGGTCTCACTCTTGCTCAGCTGGTTTTGAACTCCTGATCTTGAGCGATCCTCCTGCCTCGGCTCCAGATGCTAGGATTGCAGGCGTGAGCCACCGCGCCGGCCCTTTTCGTGTTTTTTTATCCTTGACCAACACCTGTCCTCCCCCACCCCCAGCATTGGTCCTGGAGCAGAAAGATAGATTCCCGATTCAGAACAAGTGGAATTTAGTAAAGACAACCATGGCTCTCCAAACAGTGGCAGGGACGATGGTGGGAGGGTGGCAGGCCTGGGTTTGTGCCCGGCCAGCGGTCTGCACTCCCAGCCTGAGTGCCGGTCCTGCTCAGCGCTTGCGGCCAGGTTGGCGGGCGTCTTCCACCGGCCCGAGCCTGGCCGGCGGCGGCAGGAGGGGCCCGCTGGCTGAAACGCCACCCTGGACATTCGGGCCTCAGCAGCGTCCTGTTTTCACTAATAAAAGGAGATAAAGTCATTTATATACATTAAATCTTTAGTCATTATTTAGATTTTTTCTTTCCCCTAGAAGGAGGTGTAGAGATGAAGTTTGATGGCGTGCGGACTGGAAGGGGACTGTGCCTTGTCTGCCTGCCTCTCGGCGCCCGGCTGTGGTGAGTGCTGGACACGGTGCTGAGGGAATGACCTGAATGAACGAATGGAATGATTTTCCCTTTCCAATCTTTCAAGTATCCCAGTACCTGAAAGGCTCTCCTGACTATGTGAGTTTCTTTTCGATGACGATGGGAGACTCCTCTCTTGATGTCGCTGGTGTCAGAAAACACATGGTGGGTGAAAGTGAGGGCGTCCATGGAGAGGCCCGCCCTTCCGTAGTCCTGAAGCACGGCGGTGAGGAGGCTGTGGAGAAGCGCGGAGCCGTGAGTCTCGCGAGTCCCGGGCTTCCCGCAGGCTAGCGCCCTGCCGCGCGGAGGCAGGGAGCCAGGAGGGCGCGGGCCGAGGCGGCGCGGGACGAGAGGGCGCGGCGAGGCGGCGCGGGGCGAGAGGGCGCGGGGCGAGAGGCGCGGCGAGCGGCGCGGGCGAAGGGGCCGGGCGAGAGGCCCGGGCGAGAGGGCGCGGCGGGGCGGAGAGGCCGCGAGGTCGGCGAGGGGAGGGGCCTGGGCGAGAGGCGGGCGGGGCGGGGGCCGAGGCTCACGGCGACGGCGGGCGGCTCATCGTCCGGCCACGTGACGCCCGCGGCCAGCGCGGGACCTCGGGCGACTAAGTGCTGTTTTTTCGGCTCCAGCCCCCCATGTCCGTTGGGGCCGCCCTCCCGTTTCTTGACCCGAGTCTCGGCTGACCATCGGCTCAACGTCCTTGCAACAAAGACGGGGCCCAGGGGCTAGTCTGAGACCAAGTGTGTCTGAATCTTAAGAATGGCACCAGGACAGTGTGGAAGGACGACCCTTTTCCCTCTGGAGTTGCAAAGCTGCTGTGGCCCACTTTCCCCTGGTTGCGTGAGAAAGGTTGCGTTGGGCAAGAAACAATGAGAACACCTCCAGTTCCCACACCCACCCATTTCCACCCTGTTAGTTTGCTCCTGTCCCTGTGCGCCCTATTTCAGTGAATGACCAGCAGCCACCACTTTCCAAGCCAAGACCTAGAGTCGTGCTTCCTCTCGCCCACCCTCGCCCATGTCCCTTCACCCACGGAGGCCCACGGCTCTGCTTCCCACGGGCCGTTCCCCCGCTCCCTGCCGCTCCCAGCCTCCACCTTGCGGTCTCCGCTCCCTCCCCGCTCCCACGCCCTCCCACCTCGTCTCCGCCCCCTCCCCGCCCCAGCTCACCGCGCTCCCAGCCTATCCCCCCCAGCCCTCACTGCGCTCCACTCCCTCCCGCCCCCACTCCACCTGCTCTCCCAGCTCACCCTCCCCGCCACAGCCTCCCCTGCGTCCGCCTCCCTCCCGCCCCAGCTCCCACCTGCGTCTCCCAGCCTGCCCCAGCCCTCACCTGCGCTCTCTCCTCCCCGCCCCAGCCTCCCAGGGCTGCGTCTCCGCTCCTCCCGCCCACTCCCACCCTGCGTCTCCCGCTCCCATCCCCCGCTCCCCTCCCCGCTCCCCAGCCCTCCCACATGCGCCAGCTCTGCCTGGAGGTTGGTGCAGGCCCCTGGATGACCGGGACCCTGTTTTGTGTTCTGTTGAGTCCCTTTCCCTTCTACACTGCAGCTGTTGGACATGGTTCCCGCTGCTACAGGATGGGGGTGACTCCCGCAGTGTGTCTTACGCCTCCTCTGGGCGGCTGTGCCCATCTTTCCAGCTTCATGGGACCCCACGCTCCCTCTGGGGCTCTTGTTCAGTCTTGTAATGAATATGTGCTTTGCTCCCTCCGCCCTCTGCACCTTTGGATGGAATTGTCTCTAATAAGATCTCTATCCCCAGTGTAGTGTAGTGCTTAAGTCAATTTTTTAAGTCAGATAGGCTGAGTTAAAAATCTTTGCTTTTGTTTTTGTCCAAAGTCATTTAACGTACTAGGTGTATAACTTTGGGCAAATCTCTTAACTTCTCTATGCCACGGTTTTCTATTTGAAAATAGGGATAATTATAATAATAACCTCATAAGATTGTCATGAGAATTGAATGACTTAATTTATACAAAGTTTAGAGAGCGCTTATATGGTGCTGGGGGCTGTATTAGGTGCTAGGAATACAACACAAGTTAAAACAGACCTGGTTCCTGCCTTCATAGAGCTCACAGTCCGGCGTTGCCCCTTTACGATGCCCTTATCACCCAACCACACACACTGGCTGAAGTCTTTTTCCTGCTGAACATTTGTGCAGAGCAGGTGGGGCCCAGGGCCCAGCGAACATTCAGTTATCACTTCTTGTGAAGGAAAAAATGAATGAATGCCTGAAGCACAGAATCAGCCCCCAGTTAAGGTGCCCATCTCCAGTCCTCTGTCATGGCCTTTGGGGGTGTCTCGCGTCAGCCTTTGACATCACAGATTCAATGGCCTGGAGATGAGGACAGTGCCCTGCTAAGCACAGGTGAGGCCTGATAAGGGGGTTGTATTTTGAGATGTGAGGAGATTGGGGTGAGGGATGGAAGTGGGTGGGGAGGGAGAGGAGAGATTGCTCTAGTGCACGCAAGAGACTCAGGCACTTGTGGGGATGCAGGGACTGTCATCTGGGCTCCACATCCTAAGGGGAGGAGGGGAGAGCATGATAGGGCCCTGAGTGCAAATTTGCCTGGGCCAGAAGTGGGCCCGATCCTGGCTCTAAGGCTCACCTTGTGGGGAGAAGAAAGCTGGGAGCCAGTATCTTGCAGGAAATCCTTCAAAGAAATTCTCCGGATCAGCAGGCAGTTTGGATTTTGATTGAACAGACTGCTTCCAAGCTGTGATAAATCTCATATACCTATTGGAAGGCAGGCCACAGGTTGGGGTCATTAGGGAATAGTTGCACACCTTCAGGGGGTCTGGGCAAGTCCCTCTACACCCTCCCAGGTTCCTCCCTTTACTTTTCACCCACTCAGGACTCTTGTCCTGTACTTGAGTGGAAACCAGCTATGGTTTTAAGCTTGTGAGGGAAAAGGGAGACCTCAAGACTGGAAGGCAATGGATTTGGGTAAGAAGGGAAGCCATTGTCGTGGGAATCCTAGCTGGGCCTTGCTAAATCTTGTCACAGACTTCTCTCAAAGGATCTAGATCATAGAAATGTGGGTCAGGTGTCTGCATTTGTTCTGTTGCTCACACTCACTTCTAGTTAAATGGTGTAAGAGGCAGTCTGGTACAGACTTTGGAACCCAATTTTCTGGGTTCAAATTTCAGTACTTCCATGCTCTAGTGTGAAACTTTGCACAACTTACTTATTTCATATCTTTGCCTCAGTTTCCTCATGTCTAAAATGGGATGATGATAATGGTAGTCCCTACTTCACATCATAGGGTTGCTGTGAGAATTAGGTGAGTTAGTATGAGTGAAGCTTTTAGAAAAATGTTTGCCACACCACAAGGCACTTGTTAAATGCTAGCTAGTCCCATGCCTTTCAAGCTATTTTTATTATGACTAAAAACACATTTAAAAATTATATGTTTCTAGGGGCCAGGTGCTGTGGTGCATGCCTGTAATTCCAGCACTTTGGGAGGCTGACGTGGGAGGACTGCTTAAGGCCAGGAGTTTGAGACCAGCCCGGGCAACATAATAAGACTCCATAAGTCTATACAAAATATAAAAATTAGCTGGGCATGGTGGCACATTCCTGTAGTTCCAGCTACTGGAGAGGCTGAGCCAGGAGGATCCCTTGAGCTCAGGAGTTGGAGGCTGCAGTGAGCTATGATCACACCACTGCCCTCCAGCCTGGGCAACAGAGTGAGAGAGACACTGTCTCTAAAAAAAAAAAATTATATGTAACTAATTCTTATTTCCTTTCACATTTCCCCTGCTAATTTCTCAGGACACAGTGTAGAATAACAGAAAGAGAAAGGCACTAGGTTCTAATCGTAACTGTCTCTTCAAGTGCAGTGGCCTTGGATGAGACTCTCAACTTCCTCACTTCCTCAGCCCACATGGAAGATAAGAATCCCTCCCCTGCTTAACTCACACATTACTGTGAGAAACCAAGGAGACCACACATGTGACATTATGTTGTAAACTGTTAAACTTTAAGCAAAAATGGGGAAGAAATGTATAGTAGCTTTCATCCATACCGACGACGTATTGCAGTGAAAGCCACTTTGGCCCATGTATTAAAGAAGTTCAGTCGCTGGATGAGATCATTAACCCAGGGACTCAGTGGCTTACACGACATGTAGGCGTGTTTCTGTTGGGGTTTAAAGACAGTCACATTAATTTTTCTTTTTAGATTTGTCTTTGGGGTCATTAGGAACATTTCTGCAAACTTCAGTAATGGACTCAATTGCTTGGAAGAAACAATTCGGCAACAGGATGTCATTTTCAACTGAAAGCACATAATGAAAAATATGAAAATTATTACCAAGGCAAAATGGCATTATTTTAACAGTGCCTTAGATAAAACACTTAAAGCTTCCATTCCCGGTGAGATTGTTTTCCACAGTGGCTGTGCCATTTTACATTCCCATGAGTGATATATGAGGGTTCCAATTTCTCCACATCCTCACCAATGCTTGTTAGTATCTCTTTTTGATTCTATCCATCCTAGTAGGTGTAAAGTTTATCTCATTGTGGTTTTAATTTGCATTTCCCTGATTATACATGGTATTGAACAACTTTTCACATGTCTACATAGGTTTATAACCTGATATAGGATTCAGGGTTTTGGGAAAGGCCAATGCTAATTGTAAGGAGAGAATTTCATTTCTGGAGCAATAGTTTTTGTGTCCAACAGGATGTTTGTTAATTTCCTACTCTGTGCAGCCAGATCTTCCATGGATGATTTTATTCTTGGTCTAAAGTCTAATAAACTTTGTGTTTTTACAATTTGGCCTTTTGCTTAAGGCCACAACCCAGCAGTCTCTTTATCTTGTTTTGCTTTGTCTTTATTTTTTAATTTAAAAATGTCAATTTTTTTTGCTTACAAAAGCAATATATTCCTTTTTTTCTCTGTTTCTGCTGCTTGAATCAGGAAAAAGCAATATATTCTCATTGTAGAAATATGAAATATAGAACTGTATAAGGCAGGTATAGAAATAATTCATAATTCTATTGTCCAGAGAAAAAGTTATTTTTGTATGTTTTCCTCCAGTCTACTCTCTCCATCCGCACACACACTGTATACATGCATATACAGTTGAGCCTTTTTATTTGTAGTGGGTATGTTTTGCAAAGTTCACTGTGAACACTGCATTAGCAAATACTGAGCCATTGTTCCTGGGCACAACATTTAGAAGGGTTACATTTGGATGTACCATAGCTTATGTAACCAGATTCCTATTAATAGATATTCAAATTGTTTTCAGCATTTTGTTATTATCAACAGTCCTGTAATAAACATTTCTAAGATAAATTTAAGTGGAATAGTCAAATTGCCTTTTGAGAGGTGTATTAATATATATTCATATCAAAAGGATATTGGCATCTTTTAATAGTCACATAATGTTTCATCACATGTATGTACCATAGTTAGCTTAACCATTGCCTTGAATCCGGATATTTATCTCAAGGAAACAAGTAACTAGGAAATAATAATAATTGCTTACCTGCCACACTGTAGGCACTTTCATGTTAAGGAAACAGTTAAATATTTCCTCCAATTCTTGTGTGAGGATGGTCTCTCCCTTTATTGCAAGTTGAAGATCTTTTAAAGATTTATGTATGACAAATAGTAACTTATCAAATCGCTCAATTTCTTGGTTCAAAAAGGTTAGCAAGACACAATGGATAAGGGGATCATGATCTGGATTAAAAAAAGATATAAAATTTTGATGTTTTACAGATTAAAAACATCCATGGCAGGGTATAGGTTATTAAGTTAAAGGAATCTTATGTGTCTTGTTCAGGGATTGATCAACATGTTCTGTGGAAGGTCAGACAGCAAATATTTTAGGGTTTGTGGACCGTACCATCTCTGTCAATGCTACTCAACTCTTTCCTTGTAGTGCGAGTGCAGCCACAGACAATACGTAAATGAATATATGTGGCTACATTCCAATAAAACTTTATTTATGGGCACCTAAATTTGAATTTCATATAATATTTGTGTGTCACAAATTATCATCCTTTGGTTTTTTTCAACCATTAAAAAGAGTGAAAAGCATTCTGTTTGCAGGCTGTGCAAAAACACATTGTGGGTGGGATTTGCTGCCCTTGATCAAGACTCAGCAATAACACTATTTTGACAGACTATTGCTCAACATTTAATTCCAAAATGAACTTTTTAAAAGTGCTAGGATATGGATGTTAAAATTTAAGAGGGAAAATTGAGTTTCTAGAAGAAATTAGAAGTAAAAAGCAAGCAGACTAGCATAGATTGACCAAGGGTCGGAAGGAGGGGTACCGGAGACTCCATGGGATGAGGTTGCAGAGGAAAACTGGAAGCAGAGACCTCCCGAGTAACCTGGAGACCGGTGGCAAGGGAGGGTGGAGAGGTTAACTTTCCCCTCCCTTGCATCTTGGACTACTGGTGAGCTCCCCAGTAGGAGGAGAGACCTGCGGACACCACCCCAGTGACGGCCACTGCCAGCGAGCGGTAAGCCTGTAGTGCAGGTGGCACCAGGCTCCCAACTCCCTTGGGGCACCTCCCTGTGCACAGATCGGAAGCCTCGCGGCAGGTGTCATATTGCTCCATTCTCCCCTCCCCCGACACTAACTGTGGCTGCTGAGAGAGGCAATATAGCCACTAGCCTCAGGCATCACCAGGGAACAGGACCTTCCCTTTTGGGGCCCTACAGCTGACTGAGGGGAACTCAGACGGTGAGCTCCCTACCCGCCAGCCCTCCCAGGTGCTGCTGACCTGGTGACTCCAGGAGAACGGGGCAGACCCTGAGGCGGAGAGACATCCACCTAGCTTGGGCTCCCCATGGGTGAATTAGGACCCGCACTCCTCTCTTTGGTAGGGTCAGGGATTGAATTCTGAGGCCAAGGGGTCAGACCTGCAGACCAGATCCCGTGCACCCAGGTCTTCCATTTCCCAGGGCACAGAAGGGATATTTGTGAACAGCCTACTGCGGTGTGTGTGCCTTCAGGGGCAGATCAGCATGCTTGAGGGCAACCCTCCTCCCAAGGGAGGCCATACGCCCAACCCAGGTGGCGTTCCTGCGCAGGGAACCTACCCGCCGGCATCACAGCCAGGGGAGACCTGGTGGCGTGTGGTCTGGCCTGCTGGCAGAGGCCCAGGAGGAGCTGTGGAGTTGGGGAGGGTGGAAACAAGCGAGGCCCGCTCCAGACTGCGGGTCTCAGACAGCCCCACCCCCACACGCAGACTCTCTGAGTGGGGCCACTCCAGCCCCTCCCTGGCAGCTTTTCCTGGAAGCAGAGAACAGAACTTTGACCCCTGCTAACCGCATTGGTGGTGCCTGAGGGCAGGCTGACCCAACCCAGCTCCGCCCAGACTGTCTCCTAGACCAGCCCTCACTGAGGGGGAGAAAAGGACACACCTGGAAGTCCCAGGGCCCCACCCACCACCTGAGGCACTAGAGTTCTCTCTACAGGAACAAGAGCTGATAACAGGACACAAAACAACAGCTTAGCCTGTTCCTCCAAGCAAGCGCCACCTACTGACAGGGAGGACATCCTGCACACCCTTTTCATAGCACCTACTGACTCATTATACAGGAAGTGGTCAAATCTCACCCACAGACACCACCTACCAGCTCAGAGACTAAATGGAGTGTGTCAATACCCAAACAAAAACCCAAAGGAAAGAAGCAACAACTGATCCAGATGGGAGGTAATCAGTGAAGGAACTCTGGAAATATAAAAACTCAAATGGAAAGCCCACCCCCAAAGAGGAACACTAATCCTGACTGTCAGAAAATTCTGGGCCCGCTAGCGGCTAGTGGCACTACTCTTGGTGAATATGTAAGAGCCTGTGCCGGTGTGGGGGTGCTGCCTACCACGTCACTAAGAGACTTTTAGAAGCACACTACGACCAACTCTTCTCTTCTGACAGTAACTTTGCTAAACTTCAGCTAAGAATATCATGCATTGTGATGCTTTATTCAATACTATAGCTCAAACTTTTCTTTTTCTCAGAATCCAGGATTTCATAGGATAATTGTATATATGGAAAATAAAAGGGAGGAGCTGCAACCTGGGATTGAGACCAAGAAGCACTTCAAATGGCTGCATTGTTTTATGTTGTCTATCTCGGCCTTGGCTTTTGAGCTCTGTCTGGCACCTTAACTTTAGTAACCGTTTTGAGGTCTGAGACCATGGGAAATTGTTCCCTTTTGAAACAACTCTGGAATTGGCTGATATCGCTGCTATGCTCAGATGCTCACGTACAAGGAACTAACCTTGGGTCTGGGGGGTATAAAAATAAAGCGACCGGTGCAACGGTCACTCGAGTCATTGTCATATCCATGTGCGTCTGTGTCGTTATTTTATGTTCAGTGTCATCCCATCCTGTAATCGGGCCACGACAGACACCAACCAAAATCAGACCATTAAAATGACAGAAGAAGAATTTTGAGCATGGATCGTAAGAAAATTTAATGGAGTTGCAAGAAAAACTGGATAATCAACACAAAGAAAATGCAAAAAGACTCCAGGACCTGGAACAAAAATTCACTAAAGAAATTGATACAATGAAGAAAAGTCTAACTGAACTCCTGGAAATGAAGAATCAATTCAGGGAACTACAAAACACAATGGAAAGCCTCAAGAACTGGGTAGATCAAACAGAAGAAAGAATCTTAGAGATTGAAGATAACACCTTCCAATTAAATAAATCAGTCACAGAGATAGAGCAAAGAAACAAGAGAAAAGAGCAAAGCCTACAAGAGACGTGTGATTGTGTGAAGAAACCTAATGTGAGGGTCATAGGGTTACCAGAAGGGGAAGAAGAAAACACTCAAGGATTGGATAAGCTATTCGAAGATATAATAGAGGAAAATTTCCCAGGCCTTGCTAAAAATCTCGATATACAAGTTCAAGAAGCTCTGAGGACCCCTGGGAGATTCAGTGCAAACAGGAAGACGGCACGGCATGCAGTCATCAGACTGATCAAAATATCAACTAAAGAGGCCCTTTTATGAGCTGTATGGCAAAAGAAGCAAGTAACATACAAAGAAAAGCCAATCCGAATAACGCTAGACTTCTCTACTGAAACCTTACAACCAAGGAGAGACTGGGGCCCCATTCTCACTCTTCTGAAGCAGAATAATGCCCAGCCTAGAATCTTATTCCCTGCAAAACTAAGTTTTGTATACAAAGGAGAAACCAAGACATTCTCAGATAGGCAAAGACTGAGGGAATTCACCAAGACAAGACCACCCCTTCAAGAAGTACTCAAAACAGTGTTACCCATGGATCAGCAATAAACACTCAAGAATGTAAATCAACTCAAAGCTAAAGATCAAAGCCCAGATACCACAATGGCTCAAGAGAGAAAACAAAGCAACAAAGTTCAACCCAACATAATGAACAGAAATCTGCCCCACCTATCAGTTATCTCAATAAATGTGAATGGCTTGAACTCTCCACTCAAGTGACATAGGCTGGCCGAATGGATAAAAAAATACAAGCCAAGTATCTGCTGCCTTCAGGAAACACATCTAACCTGCAAGGATGCATATAGACTAAAGGTAAAGGGGTGGAGAACAATATTTCAAGCAAATGGAAGCCAAAAGAAAGCTGGTGTGGCGGTGCTGATTACAGATAACTTAGTTTTTAAATCAACAAAAGTAATAAAAGACAAGAAGGTCACTATATAATGGTGAAGGGTACAGTTCAACAAGAAGACATAACAATTCTAAATATATATGCACCCAACCTTGGTGCACCCAGATTCATAAAGCAAACTCTACTTGATCTAAACAAATGGATAAATAACAACATCATAATAGTTGGAGACTTTAACACTCCACTGACAGCACAGGACAGATCCTCCAAACAAAAAATTAACACAGAAATAATGGACTTAAGTGGAACTCTAGAACAAATGGGCCTGAATGACATTTATAGGACGTTCTACCCCAAAACCACTGAATATATGTTCTTCTCATCAGCTCATGGGTCATTTTCTAAGATGGACCATATCCTAGGACACAAAGCACGACTCAAACAATTTTAAAAAATAGAAATTATACCATGTATCTTTTCAGACTGCAATGGAATAAATATAGAAATCGATCCTAACAGGAGTTCTCATTTCTACACACAGTCAGGGAAACTAAACAACCTTCTGCTGAATGATCACTTCATAAATGAAGAAATCAAGATAGAAATCAAAAGATTCTTTGAACTAAATGACAAAGGTGACACAAGTTACCAAAACCTGTGGAACACAGCTAAAGCAGTCCTGAGAGGAAAGTTTATTTCCATAAATGCCTATATCCAAAAGTCAAAAAGATTACAAATAGACAACCTAATGAATCATCTCAAAGAGATGGAAAAAGAACAGATCAACCCCATACCTAGCAGAAGAAGTGAAATCATTAAGATCAAATCAGAACTAGACGAAATTGACAACAGGGAAACTATACAGAAGATTAATAAAACAACTTGGTTCTTTGAAAAAATAAAGAAAATTGACACACCATTGCCTAGACTAACGAAAAATAGAAAAGGAAAATCTCTAATAATCTCCATCAGGAACAATAAAGGAAAAATTACAACTGATGCCACGGAGATACAAGACATAACTTATGAATACTACAAAAACCTCTATGCACACAAACTGGAAAATGTGGAGGAAATGGACAATTTCTTAGAAACACACAGCCTCCCTAGGCTCAACCAGGAAGAAATAGAATTTCTGAACAGACCAATATCAAGTACTGAAATTGAAACAGTATTAAAAAACCTTCCTAAAAAGAAAGTCCTGGACCAGATGGTTTCACCCCTGAATTTTACCACACCTACAAAGAAGAACCAGTGCCTGTCCTGCAGAAATTATTCCACAACATCGAGAAGGATGGAATTCTCCCCAGCACATTTTATGAAGTGATCATAACCCTGATACCAAAACCAGGAAAGGATGCAACAAAAAAAAGAAAACTACAGACCAATATCCCTTGTGAATATAGATGCAAAAATCCTCAACAAAATCCTAGCCAATCGAATCCAGGTGCTTGTCAAGAAAATAATTTATCACAACCAAGTGGGCTTCATCCCAGGGATGCAGGGATGGTTCAACATATGCAAATCTATAAATGTAATTCACCATATAAACTGAAGCAAAAACAAAGACCATATGATCCTCTCAATAGATGCAGAGAAAGCATTTGACAAAATTCAACACCCTTTTATGATAAGAACGCTCAACAAAATAGGCATAGATGGGGCTTACCTAAAAATTACACAAGCCATATATGACAAACCCACAGCCAATATCATACTGAATGGGGAAAAACTGAAAGCATTTCCACTTAGAACTGGAATGAGACAAGGTTGCCCACTATCTCCACTTCTGTTCAACATAGTGCTGGAAGTCCTTGCTACAGCAATCAGACAAGACAGTGGAATTAAGGGCATCCAAATGGGAGCAGAAGAGATCAAACTCTCACTCTTTGCTGATGACATATTATACCTAGAAAACCCCAAGGATTCAACCAAGAGACTCCTTGAATTGATAAATGAATTTGGCAAAGTCTCAGGATACAAAATCAATACACAGAAATCAGAGGCATTCATATATGCCAACAACAGTCAAAGTGAGAACCAAATCAAAGACTCAATTCCCTTCAAAATACCAACAAAGAAAATAAAGTACCTTGCAGTATATTTAACTAAGGAGGTAAAAGACCTCTACAGGGAGAACTATGAAACACTGAAGAAGGAAATAGCAGAGGACGTAAACAGATGGAAGAATATACCATGCTCATGGGTCGGCAGAATCAACATTGTTAAAATGTCTATCCTACCAAAAGTGACCTACAGAGTCAATGCAATCCCTATGAAAATACCATTATCATTTTTCACAGATATAGAAAAATAATTTTACGCTTTGTATGGAACCAGAGAAGACCCCTTATAGCAAAATCAATCCTAGGCAATAAAAACAAAATAGGCGGTATCAATTTACCAGACTTCAAACTATACTACAAGGCTATAGCCATTATAACAGCATGGGACTAGCACAAGAACAGGGACATTGACCAGTGGAACAGAACAGAGAACCTAGATATAAAACCATCATCATATAGCCAATTAATCTTCGACAAAGCAGACAAAACCATACACTGGGGAAAAGAATCCTTATTCAATAAATGGTGCTGGGAAAACTGGATAGCCACATGTAGAAGACTATAACAAGACCCACACCTTTCTTTCACCTCTCACAAAAATCAACTCACGCTGGGTAACAGACTTGAACCTTAGGTGTGCAACTATTAGAATTCTAGAGGAAAATGTTGGAAATACCCTTCTAGACATTGGCCTAGGCCAAGAATTTATGAAGAAGACCCCACATTGTCAGAGTCCTTTCCTGAGTAGGTCAAGGTGAGAGGAAGCAGCTCAGGTCCCATGCTCACCTTTGAGATTTTCGGAAAGAGATTCCCAAATGGGGCTTGACATTATGCCCTTCAGTGTGTTTGCAGTTCCAGCAGCACCTTCTTCTTTCTCCACTGTCAGTGGCAACCGCTTTAGCATGTCAGATAAAATCTCCATCACCAGTTCATCATTACTCTGCTTAGGTCTGCAAAAGAAATGAAGAGAAGAATGTGATATAGAGGGGGAAGGAAAGGTTAGGAAGAGATTTGTTAAACGATACAAAATTACAGGTAGACAGGAAAAAAAAGGTTCTGGTGTTCTATAGCATTGTAGGATGACTATAGTTAACAATAATATATAAGGCCTGTTGGGAAAGTATCAGCCATGTAACTGTTTTCCTTATATTAACAATGGCTGGATACTTTCTGGATAGACCTTGTATACTTTCAGATAGCTAGAAGATAGGATAACGAATGTTCCCAACACAAAGAAATGATAAATGTTTGAGAAGACTGATATGTTAATTACCCCAATTTGATCACTATACGTTGCATATATCAAAACATCACTGTGTATCCCATAAATATGTACAGTTGTATATTAAAAAACTTTTTAATGAAATTAATGAAGAAAAGAATGAGGTACAGATATGTCCAATGTAGGGGGGCCATCTGTTTAGGTCTCATCTGAAGGTAAAAACATTTTTACAGAACCAGAAAACTATAATATGGAAGATCTTATAGAGACCATAGAGTTCGTCTCATTTTACAGATGAGAAAACTGTCCAGTGCACTTAAGATAATAAGTAAGAAAATATAGATTTTAAAAGTTCTTTCAGTATTTCTTTGTACAATATTCGTCGGAATTTATATACATGAAGGAAGTTCCAAGACCGAATGAAAAAGAGGAGGCAACTAGGCGGTGTATGCTTAAGCAGCCATATAGCTTATTCCACTGTTTGTCAAATTCCTCCTCCATGTTCACATAAAAGGTTTCCTGATAACACCCCAGCGAATGGTGACAGGAGGACAGTGTGCATACAGGTCTGGGCGAGGTTGTGATACTAAGAAAAACCACAAAACACTAGAGCTGGAGGGGTTCTCTGGAATTCTTTCAAAGATGTTGAACCCAGGGCCCAGGGAGGTGGTAGGGCCAGCTGAGACAGTCAGCAGATGAGTGGGAGTGGGACACTCTGCTTTTGACTTTGCTTTCTCTCTGGTGCTATCCTCACCAGGAGGGACAGATTTTTCAACAAAATCCCCAGGTTTCACACAGCCAAATGGACGCCAGCCTTCAAAGTGAGTGACAATCTTGCAGCTACCGCTACATGTTTAGCCCGACAGTGCCGCTTCCCAGTCAGCTCACAGGTCGCCAGACATAAGGTATCTTCCTACTTTGTCATCACACTTTGTTTTTGACGTTAAAGTTGAGTTTCTCAGTAGAATTCATCCAGGGTGACTTCAAATAATTCTAAAGGTCAAAAGCTGTCAAAAATCAAACTTACCTACAAAGGGCAAAGATTTGCTACCACTGAGGACATTAAATTGAATATGATAGATCCTTTGAATTAAGTCCCACAGGCAAGTCTCTAATAAGCAAAGACAGCATGACTGGGATAATTAAAGCCTCCCCAAATGACCAAAGGGACATTAATAAACATATTTGGTATATTTATAAAAGCATTTCTATATAATCATATCATCTGTAGCTGGTGTGATTGGCATTATGCTAACAGTATAGAGCTAATCTTTAGAAGTGCGAGGTCTATGGGAAATTCAACCTGATATTCTGGGGACATGATGAAGGTTTCTAATAAAATACTCTTCTTTCATCACGTGTACAAATTCCTTACATGTAACAGATAGTATATATCCATTAAATCAGTGAAATGAGAGTTCAATTATCAGTACAATAACCTAGGAGATATGTCCAAATACTCAGCCAAAGTTATAAGCCATAGCCAGAATTCAATCAGGTGGCATTTTAATATGACTCGTATGGTCCAAAGAGACAAGAAGACTATAAGAAAGTGCAGAATGACAATGGGTTCAAAGATTTTGAAGGTACATGGAAAATATTTACATGTATCTTAATAGCCAAAGAAATTTAAATTCCAATCTATGAATACCCAGAAGTATTAGGTAACTATAATTGGAATCCAAGGATGATAGGTGATGGTCACATAGATGGTCGGAGAGTTATGTAGCTATCATTACCTTAACAACAACTATAAACAGGGTTCAGGGCATCCTATCAATGTTGCCAACAATAATTAATTCATATTTTGGTTAAAGTCTCTGTTTTGTTTAGTTTGTTTGTTTTTTTCAACCTTAAGCAAACTAAGAAGGCAAACTCAAAAATCATGCAAAATGATAAACTTGGTCACTGTAAGCATCTTTCAACTCTGGGAAGATTTAGAATGAAGTATAAATAGGTTTGACAGAATCAAAACTATAGTAAAATTATTTTTGTGTTAAGGAATCTATATGTGTTGATATGTTAAATACTTGTAATGTTTAAGAGAATTGGGCCTCTTAACACCTTAGAGGTCAGTCTTGTGGCGCTAATTTAAAAGAGATGATTGAGAAATTAATTTAGGATTTTAAGTTGAACTCCAGTTAAATTGGTACAAAATATTGGAGAATAAGAGAATTTAAGACTCATAATATTTATTTGATTAATTATTTAGATTTATGAAAAGACTTGGGAGAAGGTCTGGCAGACAGACAACTGAAGCATCTTAACTTTATAATGAATATTAATATATTTGAAAATGTTTAAGTTTCCAAATGGGATCAAACACTATTCAAAGATCTTTTAAAAATGATTGCTAAAACTCATTAGACTTACAAGTAGAACTTAAATACATAAGAAACTCAGATGAGTTAGGTACTATTATTACCTCTGATTTCATTGACTCAGAACAGCCCTGTGAAGTCAGTACTTTCATTATCTCTGCTTGAGGAGCCTGAGACAGAGAGAGTTAACTGCGCAAGGTGGACCGGTGCTGCTGAGATTGGAATCCAGACACAGTGAGGAGGGCAGAGAGGAAGAAGTGTGTGTGTGCATGTGTTGTCTATTTCCTGAGCAGCTATGAGTGAGCGCCCTAGATGTTTAGAAACAGCTGGAGCACACTTTGTTGGAATTATCCTGGGGAGGGAAGAGTGGGATTGTCCATCTGGCAATCAAGCCACGTCACTCCGGCATTAATGAACACGATCTTATTGCATGGCCACAGGCTGAGGAGACCTGGCAATCTGGGTATATATTATACCATTTGGAAGGCAGCTATGCCCACCATTGCACCACCAACACTGCATATCTAGGGTGCCATTTGAACCCCACAATCGCTTTGATGAGTAGAAAGTTGTTATCCCCATTTATGGATAAAGATAACGAGGCAATGTGACCTTAGAAACAGAGATAAGAAAGGTATAATCCACATAGGCCTCAAGATGCAGGGCTAGTTCTTCCTGACTCTGTCCTTTTGCTTATTAGGATGGTTGTCTTTTCTGTGGTATTGAAGTAAATATGTACATTTCACATTTAAACAAATTCATTTTAAAAATATCACCCACCAGGTACAATTCAGTCATTCATTCAACAAAGATTTATTTAGAACTACTAAATGCTCTGTAATTGCATGTGTGTATGTATGTCTGTGTGTGTGTATTTCTGTGTCATTTGGAGAATTTAGTTTTTCTACCACGTAGATTATACTTTTCTACAAGTTCTATACTGTATCTCTTCAAATGAATATCTGACAAATTTTGACCAATAATTTTTCCTGGTGAATTCTTACCGGCTCTTGAGGGTGGCAGCAGTGGTAGCTTTTGGTTGCATAGCAATGAGACTTTCAATAAACTTCTGGCTCTGAATCTCCCTGCGGCTCCTTATGGCCTCAGGGTGTACTCCCAAGACCTCTGGAGGATCGTCATCAGGTAGGGACTGGATAATGTGTGTGCAGTCCTCCAGGCTCGCACCTTTGGGCACTGGCTGATATAACTGAAAATTTAACCACTTTGTTAGTTTTTGTTTCCTTCACTTCTGCTCCTTCTGAACACTTTGTTTTTGCCTGAGTAAGATATCTATTTTCAGTAATGCTTAAAGACAATATTTTCCCATGAAATTTTATACAGAAATCTCTTCTTATTTGTATGTGGTATATTGCAGACACTGTCAAAAGCAACATCTGGGACCACTGTATTGTAATGCGCACATGACATGCACATAGAACATTCTCATTCAGAAAAGAGAGAAAGAAAAACACTTTAAAGGCTAGGGTGATTCTGACCACCCGTTTCGTCAAGGCAGTAAAGCTTGAGAAAATCATTTACTTTAGTGGAACCTATAGAAGGAATGTGGGGATGATCTTAAGAGTAGCAGACCATTGACAAACAAAAGGAATGCATTGTCCATATGGTCAGTAAAGTAGGTGGTGGTGGTGGCTTTTTCCATATCCTCCAGGAAAACATTGAAGAATTAATGAGGGCCAAGAGGGAAACATCAAACCACAAAGAGTCACTGATAAAAAAATTACCTGCAGAAGAAGCCAAGATGATGACAAAGAACAGAAAGAGCTGGCAAATTGGAATTGTCATAAAATTCCCAGTGTTTTAAAGCAGCTAAACAATTGAAAAATATGATTTCAGAGTACATTTCTGTTGCCTGATATAATTCTGCCAATGCAACTGTATGGTGTATGTTACTGTATACCTTGTTCACTTATTCTCTTAAGGCATATTTAAGCTCATAGTCTGTATACAAAGACCATGTACATTTTACTTTTGGGGCAATATAAAGGACTTTAAATTTAACAAGTTATTATGTTATTTTAAACATTTTTTATTGGAAATCCTAAAAAAAACCCACCTCATGGCTTTTTCTGTCTTAGCAAATAGTGTGTAAAGGATATACTTTAATGTCTTCTTGACTCAGGGTCATCAGCGTAGACTATTATTAGCCATTCTATAGGTGTCTTACAAATGCATCTCCTTAAAATATCACATTTACCATTTTGTCTCTCTCTCTGGACTCTTAAGACACTAGACAGGTAACCTGGATAGGATCTCTCTTTCCTTTCCTTCCTAGCATTAGGCCACTCCCAACTCACAATGATCACCCACAAAGTGTCATCTTCCTTTTCATCTTCTACTTACCTCTCCTATCCAAATTCTCACCCATCAAAATTTATGTCAAGTCCTACCCTCTGCACTCTAAGGTCAGAGGTCTGCAGAATTTTTTCCTATGTTATAATAGCAACCGTTCGACAGGGGCATAGTGGCTGGTATCTAGTCTGGAGATGTCTGCCACACAAAGGTAGAGGTCTGAATGCAGGATAGAAACTACAGGGGGAGGCCGGGCGCGGTGGCTCATGCTTGTAATCCTAGCACTCTGGGAGGCTGAGGCAGGTGGATCGTCTGAGCTCAGGAGTTCAAGACCAGCCTGAGCAAGAGTGAGACTCCATCTCTAATAAAAAAAATAGAAAGAAATTAGCTGGACAACTAAAAATATATATTGAAAAAAATTAGGTGAGCATGGTGGTGCATGCCTGTAGTCCCAGCTACTCGGGAGGCTGAGGCAGGAGGATTGCTTGAGCCCAGGAGTCTGAGGTTGCTGTGAGCTAGGCTGATGCCACGACACTCACTCTAGCCTGGGCAACAGAGTGAGACTGTGTCTCAAAAAAAAAGAAAGAAAGAAAAGAAATTATAGGGGGAGAAGAGGAGATAGAGAACAAGAGAAGATGTAGAATTTTATCTTGTTGGGGTAGGAACAAAGTTCTTGAATCTCAGCACCACTACTTACTAGTTGCATGTGCTTGGCACCCTGTGAACATCAGTCTCCTTCCCTGTAAGCTGAGAAAAGCATCTATTCCACATGATTATTTTCAGCATTAAATGAGAAATACATATAAATTAACTGGCATGGAATAGTTGATCTATAGATGTTAGCTTGCCTCTGCTTTCCTGTGCCTTGTATTTTACACTCTGGGTTCTCAGAAGGTATGAACTACTTCTTTTTTTTTTTTTTTTTTTTTTTTTTTGAGACAGAGTCTCGCTTTCTTGCCTAGGTTAGAGTGAGTGCCATGGCGTCAGCCTAGCTCACAGCAACCTCAAACTCCTGGGCTTAAGCAATCCTACTGCCTCAGCCTCCCGAGTTGCTGGGACTACAGGCACGAGCCACCATGCCCGGCTAATTTATATATATATAATATATAGTTGGCCAATTAATTTCTTTCTATTTTTTATAGTAGAGACGAGGTCTCGCTCAGGCTGGTTTTGAACTCCTGACCTTGAGCAATCCGCCCGCCTCGGCCTCCCAGAGTGCTAGGATTACAAGCGTGAGCCACCGCGCCCGGCCTGAACTACTTCTTTATCATTCTTTTTTTACTGCCCTGCATAATGTTGTATTTAATAGAGTAGTGAGTAAAAATAAACTTTTGCAATACTGAAAGCTAATACAAGCCATTAAAAATGAACATTAAAATTTATTGAAATATATATTTTAAATAATGCATAGTTCAAAATAAGCGAGTAATGTAAGAAGATAAATTCTTTTCTTACCTCATCTCTAGAGAAACTGAAGTCATCTTTTACAACTTCAGGATTACAAAATTTGTAGAGAAGGGTCTTCAAGCATCGCTTGTCCCAGCTGTCAGTCACCTGGCCACCATAAATCACTTCACCGATCAGGTAGTGCAGTGCTTTCCATGGAATATTGGCCTGTCCGTTCAGGGAATTTTCCAATACCTTTATGGCAACCTTTAGAAAATTCACTAGTCTTTATTATTTCAGTATGTGTTTTCAGTTTACTTTGATGTTTTAACATAAATCAACTCTCAAACAACTACAGATATTTTCTCTTTAAATATATGGAAATAGCAAAAGAAATAAAAAATATTAGGATATACAGTGTACACTTCTATCCATTAGTTCTTTTTTTGTTATTGTTGAATACACATTGAACAATTTAATTATTACTTCTTTGAATAGACAAAAACTAATACATGGAACTGAATTCAAAAGGTACAAAAAGACATTAAGGGAAAGTAAATTTTTCTACTTTCTAGCCATCAGATCCCCTTCCCTTGAGGCCACCATTGATAGCAGTTTCTTGGGTGTCCTTTCAGATATTCTATGTAATTATATGCACATCTGTTGACTTCATTCCTTCCTCTCTTCCTTTTCCCTCTCTTCTTCTCTCCCTCTCTTCCTTTCTGCCCTCCTTCTGTCCTTCGAATATCTTCTATCTCTCCCTCTGTCCATCTTTCTGTTTTCTGTCATCTTCTCTTCCACACATGCTAATTAGCATGCACACCATCCTGTAATTGGACAAGGAATCTTCGCTATTATTGTTTAGTGGCTATAACAATTCACATTTCCACTAACAGTGTGGAAAAGAATTGTCACCATTCTGTCATCTCTGACACTAACAGGAGATGTTGATTTATTTAATTTTTGCTAGTCTGATGGGCAGAACCTTGCTGTTAGTTTAATTTGTATGTCTACTGACTTAATTCTGTCACCATTTGTCATATAAAAATTTTTATAATCAAATATGCCTATCTTTTCTTTTATGGGTTTTCAATTTTGGTTAAGTTGTTCCCAACTGCAAGAATAATCTCCTAGATTTATTTTAAATATTTGTATTGTTATATAATACATTTAAATTTTATTCCATTCTGGAATTTATTTTTATATATGATATAAGATAAAGGGACCAGTAATTTTCTTCCAGATGGATGGCTAACTGTGCCAGTATCATTTACTTTTTAAAAATCCCTTTTTATAGAATTGAAATACTATTTGTGTCAAAGATTAAAATTTCATAAAAACTTGGATCTATTTCTGCATTCTTTACTATATCCCACTGATTTACTGTCTACCTCTCTGCCAAACAACACTGATTTTAGTATAGTGGATTTTTACTATGTTTTGATATCTGGTGAAGGAAGAATCCTTCAGTTTTCTCTTTTCTGCACATTTACAGCTTATTTCTTCAGCATCTCTTCTTCTATGTGAATTTTATCAATTTTGAAACTTCCCTAATAGGATTTTAATTGGAAATATGTTATATTTGATTATTAATTTTGGAAGAATTGATAGTATGATGTGGGAAGTCTCCCCCTAAAGAACATGAATGCATTTATTTAAGGCAGGCGGTATTAAAACAATGAGCCATGAAATCCGGCTGCCACTTACTAGTTGTGTGACTTAGGTAAGTTTCTCGAGGGCTCTGTGCCTTTATTTCCACATCTGTAAAGTAAAGATCATCAGTGTGCTTATCTCGTAATGTTGTTGTGAGAATAGAATAATTCATGTAAAGCAATAAGGACTTTTTAAGCTATCAACAAATGCTATTCCTCTTTTCTCTTTCTAATTTATAATGTTATCAAGGACCCATACAGTTCTTATTAAACTTGTTCCTATTTAAAATTTTTCATCACTATTGTGAAATTACTGTTTTACCTGCTTTCATTTTTAGGTGTTCATTGCTAGAGAAAAGTAATTGATTTTTATATATTTTTATCCAGCCACTTCACCAAATTCTCTAATTAACAGATTGTTCTTACTAGTCTCTTAGATTTTCTAGAGAGACAATTATATCATCAACAAAAAGCTAATTTTCCTTTTATTCTCTCTTTTACAGTGGTAATATGATTATATAATTTTTAAAATCTCATTGCATTTACTAGAACTTCTAAGACACTGTTGAATGATAATGGTGACAATGAACACTCTTGTTTGATTCTTGATATTATTTGAAACAACTTTAGTGTTTGACAACTTAGAATGATACTGTTGTTTTTTGATGGTCTTTGTCACATTTAAGTAGTTCGTTTTAATCCTATTAGAGTTTGTATTAAGAAGTGCTCCAAAATTCATAATAAATGCCTTTTCTACATCTATTGAGATGATCATATAGATTAGGATTATAGATTTCTAGTTATTGGGCCATTTTTGCATTCCTGGAAAAAATTCACCTTGGTCGTAGTGTATTATTCTTTTGATACATTGCTGAAATCTATTAATATTTTATACAGAATTTTTAAATCTCAAGTCCTAAGTGAAATTAGTGTATAGTTCTTATGTATATTATCTTTATCAGCTATTCATGATAAAATTATGTTGGTTTCACAAAATGAATCAGGGAGATCACCATCTTTTTTCTAAGGACTGGAATACTTTAATATTAAAACTGTTAAAATTTAAAATGAAGTAAGCTGTGAAACCATTTCATTCTGGTATCATTTGCAATGTCTTTTATGGCAATTAATTGACCCCAATTTCCATTTATTTTTGAGTCAATTTTGATAATTTATATTTTCTAGGAAATCATCAGCTTCATCTAGATTTTCAAATTTTGTCTTATCCAAACCAATTTGTGAATTTGTTTTTCTTTTTTTGCTTATTTTATATTATTAATATTAGCTTTAATATTATTTATTTATTTATTTCAAGACAGGGTCTTGCTCTGTTGCCCCGGCTGGAGTGCAGTGGTATCTCATCATAACTCACTGCAACCTCAGACTCCTGGCCTCAAGCGATCCTCCTGCCTCAGCCTCCTAAATATCTGGGACTACAGCAAAGGCCCCACATCTGGCTAATTTTTAAAAATTTTTTTGTAGAGACAAGGTCTTGCTATGTTACCCAGGCTGGTCTTGAACTTTTGGCCTCAAGCAATCCCCACTGCCTCAGCCTCCCAAAGTACAGGGATTACATGTGTGAGTCACCACACCTGGTCTTTTCTTTTTAGTTCCTTTTGTTGTTTTCTAATTTCTTAAAATCAATATTCATTTCCTGCATTTCTTTTTTAGTAATAAAGACATTTAAGGCCATAATTTTTTTCTGAGCCTGGCTTTTGTATTGTTATGTCCTTTTTGGTATGAAGTAGTTTCATTTTCATTGTTTGATATTTCATGATTTCCTTTTTAATAACCTCTCTGATAAATGGTTATCTAGAACAGCAGTCTTGAACATTTTTGGCACCAGGGACCAGTTTCATGGAAGATGGGGGTGGGGAGTGGGGGTGAGTGAGGTGGGGAGGTGAGGGGCTGGGGGTGGGCATGGGGGAGGCGAAGCTCAGGGGGTGATGAGAGCAATGGGGAGGGGAGTCGCTGTAAATGAAGCTTCTCTGGCCGCTCACCTCCTGTCGTGTTGGGGCGCTCCTCCTCCCCTTCCTAAGTTTCATGGAAGACAGTTTGTCCAGGGGGTGGGGGATGGGGAGGGGCAGTGGAGCTCTGTGGCTGGTCTCCCTATTGGCCTGGCTTGGGGGTTGGGGACCTCAGATCTTTTTGGGGGTCAAATATTTATTATTTATTATTTATCTCTGTGATCATAGAATGTGGCCCATAAAATCATTGAAGATTTTTCTTTGTGGCTATGTTCATGACTGAGTTTTTAAATAGTTCTTTGTATCTGAAAAAATATGTACTCTCTATTAAAGGATGTTAGTCAATTTCATATAGATCTATTAATCAATTTTGTTGACTATATTATTCTATGCCTTGTTTTTGATTATTAGAGCTGATCAATCCAGATGGAGGGTTTTAAAAAATTTTTTCATAAGAATTATATATACATACATATATACATGTGTATATATGTATTATTTATATGTACATATGCGTCTATATATGCTACAGTGTGCTATCGTCTGATGAATGTAGAGATCATATTGTATAATGACTGAGACTATAAGACTCTGAAGCCAGATTGCTTAGGTTTCAACTATGCCTGTTCTTACTAATTAGGCAAGTTACTTAATCTCTCTGTAACAACTGTGAAATGAGGATACTACTACCTTCTTGGCTGGGTGTGGTGGCTCACGCCTGTAATCTCAGCACTTTCGGAGGCTGAGGCGGGAGGATTACTTGAGGCCAGGAGTTCAAGACCAGCCTAGGCAACATAGAGAGACCCCATTTGTACAAAAAATTTTAAAAAATTAGCTGGGTAGGGTGGCATGCACCTGTAGTTCACTCGGGAGGCTGAGGCAGGAGGATTGCTTGAGCCCAGGAGTTTGAGGTTGCAGCGAGCTATGACTGCACCACTGCACTCCAGCCTGGGCAACACAATGAGACCCTGTCTCTTAAAAAAAAAAATACTACCTTCTTTATAGTATTGTTGTGAATTCTAATTACTTCATAAAGCACCTAAAATCATGTCTGAGCACAAGCATAGAGAGTAAACTCTACAAATGTTAACAATTTTCATGGCTGTTATATATTCTTTATAAATTGTTTCTTTTTCCTATTTGGTGCTTTTTCAGCTTAAATTCTACTTTGCCTGGTATTAATATTGCCATTCCTGCTTTTTCCTGTTTTTATTGTCTTGGTAGTTTCAAGCTTTCTTCGTGTTTTCCTTATAAATTGCATACATCTTGGTTTTGTTTTGTAACCCAGTTTAACAGTTTTGTCTTTTAATGAGGGAATAATGCAGTCAATTTATGCTTAATATAATGGCTGATAACATCTATTTTGCTTTGTTATTATTTTACTTTGTTGTCTCTGTCTCTTATTTTTTGATAGTTTGATCAAATTGTTATTTATTTTCCTTTTTCTTCTTTGTTAATTTAGACATTATCTTGCTTCCATTAAAGGTTACTTTTCCTTTCCTTGAATTCATTTCTTTATTCAAATGAAAAGAATATATCAATTATTTCCCTCCCAAAGTGTCTAATATATTGTTTACATTCTGATTGAGCTTTGAATGAAGTCTGGACAGAAGAATGCTTGAGCTCATATTCCTGACAGAGACCCAAAGTGCAGCTGTTTCTGGTCATGTTCCTGGTTTGGCATGGAAGCATATACTCTCGTAGGAAATAGAGATTGCAGTGAGTATGACAGCCTCTTGTGAGAACTGAAAGGCTTAACAGAGACATTTAGAAGACATAGAAAGCTGCCCATCTAGGGCAGGTCTAGATGATGGATACTCTGAGGCAGAATCAAGATTTTCCTCCAAAAGTTAAAAAAAATCTGCTCTGACATAGAAATAAATGGGTAATCAAGGGTGAAATGTTCTGCACTGGAAGTACAATTGATAGAAAATTAACCTGGGAAAAACTGAAGCAGGTGCTGCCATGTGTCTACTTTATCAGTAAAGAAAACACCCTGCAATAAAGCGCTAATAGAAGGCTCTGTAGAGAGAATAGTAAAGAAAGACTATAAAGTTAAACTTTCCCCGTCCCACAATGGGCCAATATAGTCTCGCTTGCATAAGTAATACTGCTTGCATAAGTAATACCGACATACATTTTTATACTGATTTATGTGTGTCAAGAACTGTTCTAAGTGCCTTACTTGTATTAACTGGTTTGCATCTTATAATTTGATTCCAGACAAGGTAGCTTCAAAGTGCATGTTTTTAAATATTAACCCTTATTTGGCCTAGTTACAGAGTTCTTTTTCTTACCACCATGTAAAACACTTAGTATTGGTGTAGACACATAGTAGGCTCTCAGTTGGTATCTCCTTGTTACTTGTTACTATTTGTTTTGAAAAGAACACACTTACCTCCAAGTCTGAAGAATGAAATTTATAACCAATATTCCAGCCCAATATTCCGTAATTTTTTCTTTCATTGATCACAGCATTGAAGAAACACAGGCTGAACAAAAGTTTTTTCCACCATTCTCCACAGTCGGGCTTTTCAAATTCCTCTTCTGTTACCTCTCCATTTCCAGTATATCCGAACGTCTGAAGTAAATTACTTTTCAATCCCTGGGGAGATTCCACAGCAATCTTTAAAACAGACGTGAATAAAAACGGCACATGAGGACGGACACAAGCATTGGTCCAGTGGGGACTCTTTGCACAGCATTGGTAAAAGAACTAACTAAGAATGTTAATTGGCTTCAAGATTAATTGGCAAATTGAAAATTTTGTTTTATTATTTTGCTATTTGAAAACTTCTGTAAGAGGATTGTCCCAGATTTTCTATTGTTCCAATTCATATTTTAAAATGGGCATTATAATATAGTGATTAAAAGTATTCCCTTTTGTTCTAAGTATAGGGTTTGGGAAGCACAGCATTATTACTTGCACAGTTTATATATATATATATATACACACACACACACACACAAATGAACACACATACATAAAACTAGCTAAGAACAAAACTAGTTTTTAAGATTCATTGGCAAATCAAAAATCTTGTGTTATTTTTATTATATGTACCCTATATAAAATTGTGTGGATGTGTCTATATCATATCTATAAATGTGTGTAGATATGTATCTATGGCCTATGGGCATATGTATGAACACAAGACTTCTGGATCAGATCCTCATGCTCCAATACCCCACAGGGTGAAGCAGTGGGAGCCAGATATATTCCGTGTGTGTATACAGTAGGATTTGTACCACAGGAGAGGGACTCAAATTATGACATTTGGAGCCCATGTAGAATGGCTGACATAGCAGCTCCTTCTCCCTTCCAGAGATAGAGAGACTTTTGCTTTGGAATGTAAACAAATGCCCTCTAGGGAAAGAGGAGGAAGTCTCTAGGTTTTACAACCCCTGGAGTGTAAGCAAGGGTTCTGAATTTTATTACCCTTAGAATGTAAGAGGCTGCAGGAGATAGACAACAAGCTTCTCTGAGTATATGACCCTTAGAATGTGAGCAAATGGTTTTGTGCACAGTGGAGATATTCTCTCTCTCCCAAGGCATGTTTGCCTTTCAAATATGCTTTAAAGCAGGTTGCCAGCAATCTTTGCTCAGAAAGCCCTAACTGTGCAGAAATGAGAAAATATTCACAGAGCATTGTTTTCTGACTGCCAGGACTGAGTCATTAAGAACTCCTTCTCATGTCTCTAAAAGCAGACGTCTGCCCAGTCCCTGAAGGAATTACATCTCTCACTTAAGGGAAAAGTGAGAAAGAGAAGGGAGGGGGGTAGAGATTGAATTGCTTTACTTTAGTGACAGCATATTATTTCACCACATAAATGCATAGTAATTATTTATTTGGCTTTTTACTAGAAGTGTGTCACTTGATCAAATTGTATGAAAATTTAAAAAGATATATATATATATATCTCAAAATTACCTTCTTTCCAGATTAATATCTTTCTGATATTACCTTGTCAGCATTGGGTGAGAGTAATTATCTCACAGTAACTTTAATAGCACTAAGTATATCATAACTATTTATAGTCTTTGCCAATTTATTGGGCTATCAAAGATTTTTATTAACATTTCTCTGATAGCTAGAGGTTAAACTTTTAATTCTTCATGTTTATTGACCTCTTGTGTCTTTTGCCCATTTTTTATGGGATGTTCACATTTTCCTTAATTATTTGTAGGTGCTCTTATTTGTATATTAAAAAATGATCACCTCTGTCTGTAAATAGTGATATATGAAAAGCTCCCATAAGCCAGGCCTATTGGCATGCACCTGTAGGCCCAGCTACCTGGGAAGCTAAAGTGGGAGGATCGCTTCAGCCCAGAAGTTGGAGGTTGCAGTGTGCAATGATCACACCTGTGAATAGCCACTTCACTCCAACCTGGGCAACATAGTGAGACTCTGTTTCTTAAAAACAAACAAACAACAAAAAGCTCCCATAGAGTTTTATACATGCACTAATGCACTAATTATAACCACATTAAAAATGCTTACACTGATGGAGACTTAGAGTGGAATCAGAGCAATGGACCTACTTAAGATGAAATGTTGCTTGAAGCTCTATCTCTGTCCATCTCTGACACTCTCTGTTCCCCTACTCCTGCCACCTCTACTGCTGAAATTCCCCAACTCCTGGCCAAAGATGAAAGGCTGTGTGAGATCATAGTCTGCCAGATGCTGAGAGATAAATGGAGCATCTTGAGTCTCAGACTAAGAGCTGTGGGTTTCTCCATCAAGCCATGTGCTGTCTGCTCCAGGAGCAGGGTTGTTGGGAAGGGGCTCAGTATTGTCAGTTTGGGTAAATATATATAGGAGGCAGGGAAGAGGTGGGGAGCAGTGTACAGGAAGGTTCTTAGTTTCCCAAAAGTGAATCTGATTTGCTCTCAGGCTGGACTGGGACTCTGTCAGGAAAGTGCCCCATCCACCTGATTTCCTCGATCCTGTGCCAATTCTGTTAAAGCTGCAGGTGTGTGTGCTCAAGGTGTCTGGGCGCAGCATTCTGCCTATGCCATTGGTCAGCTTTCTCTGCTATCAAGACTCCCTCTGGACCCTTGTTTAATAGAATTGAATAAGTCTTAGTATTTATTCAACTGAATGGTGGATGTGAATGGAAGCCACAGATAAGCCCTTAGTTAGGAGCTTTTTAGTAAATAATTCTAACCTACTTTCTGCCAGACCCTTTTCAGGCATTAGTGAACTGTAATATGGTTAAATGGAGCAGAAATAAGAAAAAGCTAGAGAAGCGATGGGCAGAACAAGATCACAAATCATATATTTTGGTTTATGACAATTGGAAGCCCAGCATTCTTGTTTGAGAAAACAAACATCTAAACTGTGAATTACTTGGAACCAAGTAATCTACTTTAGTATTCTTCCTGGTTCACAGTATAGGGCTAAGCAAAGAGCAGACATTTAGCCCTCTCTTTTTAATTCAGAGTTATGAATGCAAGATGATTTACATTCAAACAGGGTTCCTCCATCAATATTAAAGTCTGTTAACTTTGTTCTTACCTTTAAACTCATTTGAAGAATAGGAATTGGAAAAGAACTGTCTGATTTTGAGCTTAACCACAGCCTGAACTCAGGGTCTATTGTCACATTTGGACTGTTAAATCTGCAAAATAAAAAGTTTATAAATATTTTAATGTGAAAAATTTAAACACCAACATGTTCTTAGAGTCATAACATTCCAATGTTTGAAGTGACATCATAAATCACTTTAAAATACCAAGGGTCTCATCATATCACCATAAGAGCCGTTGTGCTGTACATGGGTGTGCACAGGGCCCAACCATCCCCATCTGTAAGAAGTAGCTTTCCCACCCATGAGTGCAAAAAGCAATATATACTCCTTGAGAAAAACTTGGAAAAAATTACAAATCAAGAACAATATGAAGAGTTCCACTGGTAATATCTGGGACAATTGAACATCACAATAAATGACCATAGTAGATAAATAAACAGGCTTATTTATAAATAGATTATAATCTAAATAAATCTATTTATTTATCTATTTAATAGATTATAATCTATTGATTATATTTAATCTAGTGAATAAAATAGGAATCAATGAGTCCATATTGATAAAAATAAATAAATTAATAAGTAAATGGAAGAAAAGGAAAAGCTCTTTTTTATAGTAGAATATCATTAAATAAATTTAGAAGGAATTGTGGAGTTAGACAGCCACTATTTGGCAAATAATATAGTAATAATTATTTTTTAAAAATTTACAAAACAAACAAAAATAATAAAAGAAAAAAACAGAAAATAAGAAAAAAATCAGAAAAACAAAGATCACCTGTAATTCCACTAAGTCGGTTTAAGTACACTTTTCCCATTTTTTCCCTCCTTTTGTAACCGCCCCCCCTACACTGAACAAATTTCAATGACTCTTATTAAGACTTTGAAATTCTGTTCTGATGAACATTTGTCTAATTTCCTTTTTTTCCTAAATGACACATTGCTATCTGCTATCCAGCAATTGTTAATATAATGAGAATGGTTTGTGTGACATGGATGTAACCTGGCAGCCAAAGCAAGTGGACTGGAATGCACATGTGTGAACAATGAGGACTTCACTGCACTAGTGAGTGGTGTGCTGGACTAGTGAGTGAGCACGTGCACTGTGTGGCCGTCACATTCAAATGACTAGTGAGTAGAGCAATGAATCTGCACCAAATTTTGCATTAAGCTTGAACATTCCTCCGCAGAAAGTATTCGGACGATTCAGAAGGCTTTTGGGGACGATGCAATGAGTGCAGCACAAATAAAATCGTGGCACAAATGCTTCAAAGATAATGGAGAATCTGTTGAAAGTGATCCATGTTCTGGAAGGCCTGCAACAAGCAGAGCACCTGAGAATGTTCAATGTGTATGGGCTGCAATCAATAAACATAAGTGACTGACAGTGCGCGGACTAGAAGATGATCTGGGGATTCCCAAAACTACTGCGCCTGAGATTCTGATGCAGGATCTTGCATATTCTTCAATAAATGTCTCCATTTTTTATATTACATGGCTGGATATTTTCTTGACAGACCTCATATGTCTATTGAGAGTAAGAGTTTGAGAAGGAGGGAGAGAAAGTGATAAACAAAATAGAGAGCGAAAACTAAAGAGACCTTCTTTTTCTAATGAAAACTGATGTATTCTCTGTGTACTTTTCAAGTTCTTGGAGAAAAGAGAACTCATATAAGATAGCTTGAGTTTCCTCATGTTATTTTGTCATTCTTTACACACAGCATATACATTGCCATTTCCAGTTTTACCTCAGTTTTGGTAATTAATCTGATCACTTAAACATAAACGTAAAACTCTTACGATTCTATAATGGTGCAAAGTCTTGGCATAAATGATGCTGCAAGGTGGCAGTTCTGGAGGAAGACCCATTGTTGTGTTTTGGCGAGTGCTTTAACAATGAGGTCTTCAGCTTTAGCTGCCTGGCCACGGCCCAAAGAAATCATGGTCACATGATTCGTTGTTCCTTTTAGCTCTTGTGCCAATCTCAGGAGAATATTGGTGAGGTCAATCCCTGTATAACAAAGTGGAGAGATACATAATACTGTAAGCTCATTTAATTCTTTTTTAAAAAACATAACCAGCATTTATTGAGTGGTGGTGGGTGAAGGTATACCCATAGTGCAGAGACTGCAGGCTTCAAAATTAGAGCCCAGAGTTCAAATTTTTACACTACCATTTACTAGTTGCGTGACCTGTTTCCTAACATGTCAGAATGATAATATCTAAGGACAGCAGCACCTGCTGGTTGTCCACTCCTGCATCTACTTGTCCCTTCCCCCTTTGTAGTCGTACTCCAGTGTCATTGGAGATGGCCTTGTACCCAGCTAAAATACTACATTTTTAGCCTGTCTTGCAGTTAGCTATGGGCATCTAAGTTTTGTGATTAGGTTTAGGCAGTAGAAGCTCGTTGCAAAAGTGTTGTGTGATATAACACTTTGGATGCCTCCTTAAAGAGAAGAGGGGTGCCTTTCTTCCTTGCTTCCATTCTATTGTTTATGATATGGATGAGATGGCTGAGCCTTAGCCACCCATATTGGGCTATGTCTTGAAGAAATGAACAGTAATTATTATTAGTGTGTCTGGCAGGTGCTTTACACAGAAATGATCCAGGTGAGAAAGTCTTCAGGTGGAGGCACTCTGGGCAAGGTTTTGCATAATAGATCAAAGTTTGGAAATGGTGAATTCTAAAGACATATTTGATTTGGAGACTATGAAGAACAGAAGATAAATAAAGAAGATATTTTGCTTAGGAGAAAATATTTTACTTAGAGTCTATAGAGCAAAGATTAAAACAAAAAAAATGCATTTGGAGTTTTGAGGAATAGAAGGGCTGGATCAGCAGGGCCAGTTTCTGATAGTTTAGTTTATAAGATATATTTTTACAGAAGTCAATGTTAATTAAAATAGTTAATAAATGTAAGGGCAATGACAATTTTCAATTTTCAGATCAATAATATGTGTTTCCTGTGCAGGAAATTAGCATTGACTGATATATTTTTCCATATTTGTGAATCTGAGTTTTATTCCTCTTTATTTTTTTTTTTTTAGAAAAATTTATTCTTTTTTTTTCCATTTTTTTATTTCAGCATCTTATGGGGGTACAAATGTTAAGGTTATGTATATCGCCCATGCCCCCCCACCTTGAGTCAGAGCTTCAAGTGTGACCATCCCCCAGAAGAATTTATTCTTAATGTAGTCTTAAAGTTTAAGTTTTAATTGGTCTCTTTACCAAAATATTTAAATTAGAATAGGAAAATATTTAAAACACCCGACTTCTCCACATTTTGGCTGATATCATATCATCATCTTAACTAATCACAAATATCTTACCATGAGAGTGAATAAGTACCAGTGGAGTTCTGGCATTGGATTGTTTATATGATTCTTTCAAATTAACTTCGGTTGTTTGAAGATATTCATTTCCCATTTTTTCAGTGATAAAACTTCTTACTGAATTCTTTAAATGTTCTGGTCTAAGGATTTTTACCTAAAAAAAATATGGAAGATAAACTAAATATAAAAACCACCTAGGTGAATATTCCCTATGGTAAAATAAACAAAAATAAGAAGTATTCATTTTTTAGCTTTTCAGTCAGAGTTTTCTCGTGTTCCTCCTGCTGTGAAAGTTTAATGGGAGAGAGAATATGCATGGTGGGGAAACTGTCACTATGCTCTTGGCCCTCATGGGATCCTTCCTAGATACCAGGACCACATTGGGCCTTTATCTCTATCATGCTCTGAGTGAGGTCTCACTTTGGATGTAAAGATCCAAGTTATACTCTGTGATACTGCAAAAGGAGACCTTTCCCCTGGGTTTCTTCCTGTTCTGCTATACATCTCCAAAGCAAGAAAACCCATGGGTGCTGGAGAAATGAAAATCCAGGAGAACACAATTGCAAGAGTGCTAATTTTCCCATTAATAAAATGGAGACAAATGGCACAATCTTTGATTGTTTAAGCAAATAGAATGCAAATCTGAAAAGAACTCTAGATGGATTAAAAGGTTTTGGAAACAGTATACATATAATTAGAATTCAGGGTCTATTGGAGATCATTGCAAATTTCAGAAGAAAGACTTTTCCCACAAAATCTGTTTTATACAAATCACGTACATGCTATTTCTTTACATAAATCTCTCAATTTTCACATTTTGGCTCAAAAATTAAGAAACCCAAACCCAAACCCAACATGTGTATCAATGTTCAGAGCAGCATTATTCACAATAGCCAGAAGGTGGAGACAACCTTTGTTGTCTATCAATGGATAAACAGAATGTGATATATGCATACAATGGAATATTACTTGGCCTCGAAAGGGAAGGAAATTCTGAGACATGCCAAAACATGGATGATTTTGAAAACATTATACTAATGGAAATAAGCCAGACACAAAAAGACAAATATTACATGATTGGAGACAAAAAGTAGAATGGTGGTTGCCAGCAACTGCCTGGAGGAGGAAATGGGGAGTTATTATTTAACAGGTATAGAATTTCTGTTTAAAATGACCACAAAGTTTTGGAAATGGATGTAGTGATGGTTGCATAACATTGTGAATATACCTTGTGCCACCGAATTTCACACTTAACACGTTGACTGCCACACTAGAAAAATATTTTTTTTCCATGGGGCCACAGTGTTTTATTATGAAAATGGAATAAAGACTTTGAAAACAAAATGATTCTTTCTAATTTAATGAAAAATTTGTTATTTTTTATTGTTTTCTGTGCGTGAGTTATATGCAACTTGAAAAATAGTTCAAATGGCTCCCAAGGTGAAGAGATGTGAGTTACATACACTTCACAAGGCCCTGGGTTCAAAACCAGCATGAGTTAAATACAACTCAAAGGGCAGTTAATGTGTTAAAAAGGGTTAAAAGGGATTATTATGAGGATTAAATGAAATAATGTATGCAGATTCTATTATAATAAAAAAAAATAACACAATTCACTTTAAGATATAAATATGCACTGAATTAAAAAATAGTGAATGATATTCATTTTAGTTATCTGTACTTAAAGACTTGGAAGTTGCTATGGTCTGAATGTTGGATGCTCCCTCAACTCCAGATTCATATCTTGGAACCTAATCTCCAATGTGATAGTATGAGGAGGTGGAGCCTTAGGAGAGGATTAGGTCATGAGGGCTCTTCCTTCATGAATGGGATTAGTGCTTTTAAAAGGCTTGAGGGAGCCTGTTCATCAATGTGAAGACGCAGTAGGAAGAAGCCATCCATAAGGCAAGCCTTCGCCAGACACCAAATCTGCTGGTGCTTTGATATTGTACTTCCCACCCTCCAGAACTATGAACAATAAATTTCTGTTGTTTATAAATTACCCAATCTAAAGTATTTTGTTATAACAGCCCAAATGGATTAAGAAAGAAATCCTCTAAAAAAGATCTTCATAGGTTCAAATCCATCTGTTTAGTGATAAATTGCACTTAAAAAGTTAAAAACAAAACAAAACAAAACAAAACTGGAGGCCAAATAAACAGCATGTTTATGGGGGATTAGTCAAGATGGTGGACGAGAAACACCGCCAAACAGAATGTCTCTGCAGACAAGGCAGATTCTAGGAGAAATTAGAAGAAAGAAGCAAGAAGATGAGCATACATCCGACAGGGGTCGGAAGGAGGGGTACCTGACCACGAGAAGCTCCACAGGAGGAGGTTGCGGAGGAGAACTGGAAGCAGAGACCTCGGGAGCAGCCTGGAGACCAGCGGCAAGGGGAGGTGGCGCAGTGAACTCTCCCCTCCCTTGCATCTCGGACTGCTGGTGGGCTCCCCAGTGGGTGGAGAGAATTGGGGACACCAGACCAGAGACGGCCACCACCAGTGAGCGGTAAGCCAGTAGCGGACGCGGCACCAGGCTCCCAACTCCCACGGGCACCTCCGTGTGCACAGACCCGAGCCGCGCGGCACGCGCCATATTGCCTTCTTCTCCCCTCCCCCGGCCCTATCCATGGCGACTGAGGGAGACAATATAGCCACCAGCCAGAGGCACCTCCAGGGAACCGGACCTTCCCTTTTGGGGCCCCACAGCTGACTGAGGGGAACTCAGACGGTGAGCTCCCTACCCGCCAGGCCTCCCAGGTGCTGCTGGCCCGGTGATCCCAGGAGAATGGGGCAAACTCTGAGGCTGAGAGACATAGACCAAGCCTGGGTTCCTCGTGGGTGAACTGGGACTGGCACTCCTCTCCCTGGTGGTTCAATCCCTATTGAACTCTGGGGCCCAGAGTTCAGACCTGCAGACCAGATCCCGTGCACCCAGGTCTCCTATTGCCCGGGGCACGGAAGGGATATACGCGAACAGCCTACTGAGGTGTGTGTGCCTTCAGGGGCAGATCAGAGTCCTAGGGGCAACCCTCCTCCCAAGGAGGGGCCGTGCACCCAATCCAGGCGGTGTTCCTGTGCAGGGAAACTCCCCGCCGGCATCACAGCCAGGGGAGGTCCGGTGGCATGCGGTCTGGCCTGCTGGCAGAGGCCCAGGATTAGCTGTGGAGTTGGGGAGGGTGGAAAGGAGCGAGGCCCGCTCCAGACTGCGGGTCTCAGACAGCCCCACCCCCACACGCAGACTTTCTGACTGAGCGGGGCCATTTCAGCCCCTGCCTGGCAGCTTTTCCTGGAAGCAGAGAATAGAACTTGACCCCTGCTAACTGCATTGTTGGTGCCTGAGGGCAGGCTTACCCAACCCAGCTCCGCCCAGACCTGCCCCCAATGAGGGGGAGAAAAGGACACACCTGGAAGTCCCAGGGCCCCACCGACCACCTGAGGCACTAGAGTGCCTTTATATAGGAACAAGAGCTGGTTACAGGACACAAAAACAACAGCATAGCCTGTTCCTATATACCATGCTCATGGGTGGGCAGAATCAACATTGTTAAAATGTCTATACTACTCTAAGTGACCTACAGAGTCAATGCAATCCCTATGAAAATACCATTATCATTTTTCACAGATATAGAAAAAATAATTTTACACTTCGTATGGAACCAGAGAAGACCCCTTATAGCAAAATCAATCCTAGGCAATAAAACAAAATAGGCGGTATCAATTTACCAGACTTCAAACTATACTACAAGGCTATAGTCATTATAACAGCATGGGACTAGCACAAGAACAGGGACAGTGACCAGTGGAACAGAACAGAGAACCTAGATATAAAACCATCCTCATATAGCCAACTAATCTTCGACAAAGCAGACAAAACCATACACTGGGGAAAAGAATCCTTATTCAATAAATGGTGCTGGGAAAACTGGATAGCCACATGTAGAAGACTATAACAAGACCCACACGTTTCACCTCTCACAAAAATCAACTCACGCTGGATAACAGACTTGAACCTTAGGTGTGCAACTATTAGAATGCTAGAGGAAAATGTTGGAAATACCCTTCTAGACATTGGCCTAGGCCAAGAATTTATGAAGAAGACCCCAAAGGCAATCACAGCAGCAACAAAAATAAACAAATGGGATCTAATCAAATTAAAAAACTTCTGCACAGCCAATGAAACTGTCAAGAGAGCAAACAGACAACTCACAGAATGGGAGAAAATATTTGGAAGCTACACATCTGATAAAGGGCTGATAACTAGAATCTATTTACAACTCAGGAAAATCAGCAAGAAAAGAATCAAACAACCCTATCAAAAAATGGGCAAAGGACATGAACAGAAACTTCTCAAAAGAAGATAGAATAATGGCCAACAAACATGAAAAAATGTTCAACATCTCTAATCATCAGGGAAATGCAAATCAAAACCACAATGAGATATCACTTAACTCCAGTGAGAATGGCCATTATCAAAAAGTCCCCAAACAATAAATGCTGGCGTGGATGCAGAGAGATAGGAACACTCCTACATTGCTGGTTGGACTGCGAACTAGTTCAGCCTCTGTGGAAAGCAATATGGAGATACCATTTGATCCAGCAATTCCACTACTGGGAATTTACCCAAAAGATCAAAAGTCACTTTATGAAAAAGACACCTGCATTTGAATGTTTATAGCAGCACAACTCACAATTGCAAAGCTGTGGAAACAACCCAAGTGCCCATCAATTAGTGAGTGGTTTAATAAAATATGGTATATGTATACCATGGAGTACTACTCAGCTTTAAGAAACAATAGTGATATAGCACCTCTTGTACATTCCTGGATAGAGCTGGAACCCATTCTATTAAATGAAGTATCTCAAGAATGGAAAAACCAGCACCACATGTACTCACCAGCAAATTGGTATTAACGGATCAACACCTAAGTGGACATATAGGAGTAACATTTATCTGGTATTGGAAGGGTGGGAGGGGGCAGGAGGGGATGGGTATATACAATCAAACGAGTAAGACGTGCAACGTTTGTGGGATGGACACGCTAGAAGCTCTGACTCCAGGGGACCGGGGGGGGGGGCATGGGCAATATATATAACCTTAACACTTGTACCCCCATAATACGCTAAAATAAAAATAAAATCACGTTTATAAGCTTGATGCAGTCTTTTTTTCCTTGCAATCTCCATCTTGAATGAATTTTAAAGTTACAAAAATAAAATTTAAGGCAAAAATCAAAAGAAGGATTATGAGCCTTCTAGGCTGTCGTTTTCAGGAAGTTAGTGGGAATGAGATGAGGGATTTTCCACTCACTAAACTAGAAGGTTAAAAGATTTTTCAAAGCAATAGGCAAGAATTTAGGATGATCTGTTTGGGAAAGTGTAATATATTTTGACTGACAAGATCATAGACATTAGAGCCAAACTGTCTAAGATTCAATCCCGGATCTATTAGGCAATTTATAAGCATTGGTTTCCTAATCTGTAAAATAAGGGAAATAAATATGCCTACCCTAACATATGGACTATCATATGCATTAAGTGGAATAATGTATGTATGTAAAGTGCCTAACACATACTAAACTTTTTTCTGATTTTGAGACAAGAGTCTTGCTCTGTAGCCTGGGCTAGAGTGCCATGGCAAGAGCCTAGCTCACAGAACTTCAAGCCCCTGGGCTTGAGCTGTCCTCCTGCTTCAGCCTCCTGAGTAGCGGGGACTACAGGTGTGCACTACCATGCCCAGCCAGTTTTTCTGTTTTTAGTAGAGACGGGTCTCGCTCTTGCTCAGGCTGCTCTTGAACTCCTGAGCTCAAGCGATCCTCCCACCTCGGCCTCCCAGAGTGCTAGGATCACAGGTGTTAGCCACCATGCCTGGCCCATGCCAAACTTTTGATGTCTTAGGGGGGCTCATAAATGACACCCATGTACATCCCTAACCCACCAATCCCACCCCACCCCCAGCTAAGATTCTGAAATAATGGAGAAATAGAGGGGTCAGGTAAAATATCAGCTTTATTAATAATAAAGGACATGTTGATGGATATAGATTAAGTGTGAGTTAACAATGTGTTCCCTGATAATGAACCTAGAATTAGACAGACTTACCAGTTACAAGCAGTGCTGGTTAGCCATTGGCTTCCCCACAAAGGACCAGGGTCTGTTCCTGTACAATTTATGGCATAGAGAAGCAGAGCTGAAAGTATGCTCTTTGCAGGAGAAAAATCCCAAAAGGGACAAAGAAGAAATGGCTGAGCCATGCACTCTCAGTTCACCTCTCAAATTGATCAATCCTGTAAGTCCTCCTCCTCTCTAGGGAGGAGTGAAAGAAGGAGCAGAGAGATACTGGGAATATTAATCTAATTGGACTCTTTCCACATGAAAGAAACATTAAGCATGGAGTACAAGTACTTTCATCTAACATTGCCATTTACTAAATGTTAACTTTTTAAAATCAATAGATTTTGCTCATAAAAATTTAACTTTGAAGGGTTTATGTTACTAATAGAGTGCTCAAAACATTTACAATATTAATATTTTGTCATAGCACATCTTACCAAAATAAGTCTTTGAAATGGAGTGAGTTTCTCCCAAGGAAAGTTTATAGGATTACACATTTCTTCATTTTCATTCAAAAGTTCAGCTAGATATCATTAAGAGAAAGAAACTGAGATTAACAATCAAGTACTTTGCATCACTAAAAGATATAACAAAAATTTGTTCTAAAACTGTTAAGTTTTTTAAAACATGGTGACTTTTAAAGTGAGCTTGATCTCCATAGGATTTGAGGCATCACTACCTATCCTTAATACCGCAAAAGAGGTAGACAGTAAGGTAGATTTAAGCTTCAACTTGGTCTTGCTGAAGTGGCTGCTGAATTAGTGATATAACAAGATGGGGACAGGGGAAGGGATAACGTGAGAAGCAAAGGGCATAGCCAACACTTTATAACCGCCCCAGCACATGTGGTATTTTTCTGATGAGTATAAACTAGTAATAACTCTAGAGGCTAGAGATTTCTATTCAAAAGCCATCTGTAACAGACATAGGAAATTAGAATCGAATGAAAATTCAACAAGATTATGAAATTTTGAAAAATTAAATATCATATCAATATATTTTTAATACTGAGACCTCTACCACTTCACAAGAGTCCCATTAGATCACAGTCTCTTGCAAGGTAGGAAGCCTTTCCAGTTCCTGTTTCCACCTATCCCAGATGCAGTTATCATTTCTGCCTACTTTCAGTCTCTATGATATTTTCCTAATGTCTAACTTTAAATACAACTTAGATTATAGAAATAGCTTTTCTGAATGTAGCTAATATTGGTATGTTGATCTTTAAAAAAAGCCCATTACACATGAACATCCAGTTACATAGGGATAAATTTGGGGTTATTTATAAAATAAAAAGATCTTCACTTTACAAAAAGGGTCAATAAAGGGTTCTTTAAAATAAAAGTTACTCTTATTTTACAGTATAATAAATTATGGGTTCCAAATAGATTAGTGACAAAGGCAGCAAAATAAAACAATGACTCAGAGAGAAAACTCTAGGGGAGGAGGTGACCTTCTTAATTTTGGAATCGGAAATCAAGAAAGTATAAAAAAAAATAGACACAATTGGCTAGACTAACATTTAAACGTTTGTATAGTGCAGATACTATAAACAAATCCAATAGATAATGAACATATTTGGAAAAAATATTTGAATGAAGAGGTTAAAATATATAATAAGACAAAAATTTAATTATATATAACACTAATAGTATTCTTACAAATGGTCAAAATGAGATAAACAATCTAGTAAAAAAATGGGGTAAAGTACATGAACAGGAAAATCCAAATGGCAAACAAACATCAGAAAAGATACTTAAACTTGCTATAGGGAAATTAAAATTAAAGTATTTTAAGCTTTTCAGATGTACAAAAGTTAAAATCAATACTCCTTTGGCAAAGGGGCATTCATATTGCTAGTGGAAATATAAATTATCACAGATTTTTAAAGAAAGGAACCTGGCAGCAACTGTTAACATAAAAATGATTTGCTTTTGACTCAGCAATTCCACTTCTTGTTATTTATGCTATAGAAATGAAAACAAAGGAAATATGTGCAAGGATGTCTATGTTATTATATAACATAATTGTATATTATAGCAAAAATCTGGAAGCAAAGTGGAAAAATGTAGAAGGAAACAATTAGTTAGTATCCTGAGTGGGGCTGTTATGGATGAAAGTGGCAGGGAAGAGAAGGGAGAAAAGTTCAAAATGAAAAAAGAAAAGGGAAAAGATGTGCTAAAAGTAGCAAATCATTTAAATTTAAAGTAAGATCCATTTCCCATGTAATTTTTAAAACACCTGTATGTTAAAATGAGGGATATATGTGGGCTTGTTCAGATTCAAGGTTCAAAACTATGTGTTGTAATGAAACTAGTGAGGTATATTTAATCACTCTGAAATTCTGATTTCTTACCAGGGTTTCTCATCAACAATAATGAAGTTTATAATAATCATTTCATAAGATTGTTATGAAGATTACATTTAACATTTAACATGCATGCTTAGCACACAGTTATGTTCATCCCTTCCATTTTTCATAATATAAGACATTAAACTACATTTACAAATTAAAAATCTACACACACATGTACTTCAGTTAGATTAAAACACTGAATGCTTTCTTACTTTGCTCTGGTGGTTTTGTACTTTCCTCCGATGAAGCATGTTCTGAACAGAAAGGTGTGCTGATCAAAAAATAAACATTCTTACTGTTCTTAAAAGCATCCCATTGTGATATGTTCGATAGAAGGGATTTGCACAGAAGTGCAAATGGTTTCAGGTGACTGCTAACATATTGGCACTGCCTCCACCTGGAATCTGACAGCCACTGAAGATGTTGGTTTTTATGTATTGCAAACGTGACTAATAGGAAAGGAAAAATGATTGCATTAGAAGAAATAAAACCTTTATCTTTTAGTTACTCATTACAAAGTAGATAGTTAACAAATATTTGTTATTGAGAAAAAGCTACTTTATATAAAAACCCATTACATAAAAGGTAATTCTTTTTATTGTGGTAAAAACAGACAACATAAAATTTATCATTTGAACCATTTTTAAGTGTATATTTCAGTAGTGTCAAGTATATTCATATTGTTGTGAAACAGATCTCCAGAACTTCTTCTGCAAATCTGAAACTCGGTACCCAATACAAGTACCCTATTGACCCTCCTCCCAGATCTCGATAACCATCATTCTAGTTTCTTTTTCCATTTTGTAGCATGTGACAAGATTTCCTTCCTTTTTTTTTTTTTTTTTTTTTAAGGCAGAATAACATTCTATTGTCTGTTTATGGCACACTTTGTTTATCCATTCATTCACTGGTGGGCATTTGGGTTGCTTCCACATCTTGGCTATTATAAATGGTGCTGCTATGAATGTACATGTACAAATATCTCTTTCAGACTCTGCTTTAAATCATTTTGGATGTATACACAATGTGGGATTGCTGGATCATACAGTAGCTCTATTTTGAATTTTTTGAGGAAAGTTTGTACTGTTTTCCATAGTGGTTGCACCATTTTACAATCCCACCTTTGAGATCTTTTAATAATTTATAAGGAGACTTGTTTTAGTGGACTTTTTTACTTACTATTAAGTCTAGGCTGGGATAATGTACTTTTAATATTTATCAATATGCCAGAATATAAAAAGATGTTCCATTCTTCTTCTGGTAGGGATCCAATGTCATCTTGCATTAGATTTTCATTAGCATTATTTTGCATGATTGCAGTGCAAAGTCGAAAAGAGAAGCAAAGTTTATCTTGATTAAATAGAGCTGGAGAAACCACCTATAGGGAAAATATAACTGCTAGACTAACTCAGCTAGATTAAATAAGTATGCAAAATTCACATAAAAAATATCTCACCTTAAAAATGTTTCTTGTCAACACATCTATTGCATTTTTAATATGCCTGTTTAAGGAATTGTTCTCATTTTCCAAGTTAGGTTCTTCTGAAGTATCTGTAATCTTATGAATTTTTTTCAGAGACATTTTCTCCCGTTTTGAACTATGTTCTTCTTTGCTTTCTAAAACTACTGATGAAACAAAAACTTGATGAAACCAGTCTAGGGAGAACTGGTACATGTAGTTGATTTGTGTCAGATCAGCAACTAGAAAGTAGAGCAGGGCACCTCGGGTAGCAATGGGGAGATAGTTTTTACGTGTTGCTTGGATCTCACTTTCAGCTTTTTTTGTTGCTTTGATGCGCTTTGAAATTTCATTTGATCTCATTTTAGATTTTCTTAAGGTATCTATAATTTCCTCATCATCCAATACAAATCCTAATGACAAACAAAAAATCAATTTTAATAAAAACTGTTGTAATATTAAATGGCTGTTTCCTTATTCTGTACTCTTTATGTAAGAGTTTTTACTGTTGGCTTTTTGTTGGCAAGAATGCGGACCTTGTCTCTACAAAAAACAGAGAAAGATTAGTTAGGTGTGAGCCGGTAGTCCCAGCTACTTGGGAGGCTGAGGCAGGAGAATTGCTTGAGCTGAGGAGTTTGAGGTTGCAGTGAGCTATAATGACACTGCTGCACTCTAGTCAGCGTGACAGAGTGAAACTCTGTCTCAAAAAAAAAATTCCAGAAAATAACAATTATACCATTATTTCATATGATGTATTCTGATTTTTTGTATTCTATTCTATTTTATTAAACAAATAAAGCTGATCATGACCAATGAAATTCATTTTTTCAGCCCACTAATTGATTACAACTCACCTTTTGAAAAAGCATTTCTCTAGAAAACAGAGATAATAATTCTACCTCCTTCAAAAATTTAAGACAACTCTCATATTTCCATTATAAACTCTTCTATTTTATGGACTAAACATACCCATTTTCCTCAACTGCCATTTTTTATGATATGATTTTTAGACCCCTCACCATCTTTGATTTTTGCCTATGAATGCACTTTAGTTTGAAAAGAGCCTTCTTAAAATATGGCATCCAGAACTAAACGCAGTATTTCAGGTTGATATGACCATTGCAGGCAATAATGAAATTATTATATTCTACAATCTGGATACCATACTCTTACTGATTCAGATTACACTTTTTAAGTGATGTCTGGACCTAAGCTGTGGGCCGCTCTCACAGCATTCACCTGCCACACCTCTTCCCACAGGGATTGAGGAGTCACACCAAGGATAAAATATTTACAAAGAGGCAATAAAAATGGCCAGTTTTACTAAAACTTACAAAGAGGGAAGAAAAATTGTATATAGAATCAAGAAGTCTTTTTATTTATTTAGTTTTTCTCAAGACCTATTTTTATTAAAACCACTATTAGTAAAAGGTCACAGTCTTTTAAAAACATCTCAGTTCTAATACAGGGAACAAGTGATAGGAAATACACACCCAAGGCATAATAAAAGCATATATTGCTCTGATGTGTGTTATCTTAAACAACTTTTCACTTGTCTCATTAAATCCATTTTGTCCACTTTAGGCAAAGGTTATAGCAAAATGTGACATTTGTTACATGAATGGTTTATAAAGTGGGAGTGGCTGTGCTTCTGAATCTTGTTAGACCAATTGGACAACCTTCTATGTATATTGTATGTACTTCAATGTTTTGCTCCCTAGGAGGTTACCAGCTCTTGGATCCAATTTTATAAGAGAAACAGATACAGAAAACTTATCCGTGTAACTAGTCTTGTCGTTAACAGAACCATAGTTTATTCACGTGTTATAAAGAAACATCTTATTAGGTGTAATCAACACAGAAAAGGAATAAAGTCAGATTGTTCCAGGCATAAATCTGTATTTAAAATTTCCATAGTAAACAAATATACTTTCAAGTGAAGATTTGCTTATATTTCTAAGATACAATTAATTTTGAGCCCCCTCTTTTTTTTTTGCAAATATGGTGGCAAAAATCGAGTTACAGACTCCCTTTGTTTTTAAAAAATTCTCCATTTAACACATATCTCGTTTGGGATTTGGGTCAAGACAATGGCATATTAAGGCAGCAACACTCTGGAAGATGCCTGAGAGGAAAGGCTTGCCTTCCCAACTACCTTCCCTACATAAAAAAATTTTTTGTTTGAGGTTTTAATGACAAAATGTGAAGTCTTATAAGGTCTTAAAATAATCATTTCCCAAAACTAAGACAGTTGTATGCTGTAAAAACATTAGTTCTTTGTCAAGGGTTAAGAACATGCTGAACAAGTCAGTGTTTCTGCACATCTCGGCAGATCTTAGAGTGGCCATACTGGAACTCCTTATCACAGCCATTCTTGTTATGGCCACAATGCTCATAGCAAAGGGCTTTTGGTTGCAGCCCCTTTTCAGGGAAGGGATGTCAATGTTAAGGTAAACACCTCACAGTGGAGAACCACATCCTTTCAGTGGGGAGGGTTTATAACCATAACATGGGGAAGGCTTAAATTCATCACTATACTCAAACGGACAGACTGTTCTTGCTCCCAGGAAGTCTAAGACAGCACTGTGAACATGGTTCCAGTTCTGGATGATTTTAAGGAATGGCCCTCCCCTAGGTGGTTTGGCCTCCTTGTGGTTTCTGTGATGGCTGGAGGAGGAGAAAGAGGGTGTGTGGACCAAGGCTGGGGAAGAGGGACCCACTGCATCCCTGCCCCCAAAGTACCAGTGCTAACACGTGGTTGGCGTCACCCCAGGTATCTCTCCATACACATGAGCAGACAGAATGTGAGGTGGATGGATTGATCAATAGATAGGTTTTTTAAAATGAGAAATGGATCCTACTATAAATACTATGTTTTAAATGACTAGTAAATTTACCTTTATTAGAATTATGAAAACAATCAATAGAATTGCTGAATCTGATAGAATTGCTGAGATAAACATTTCTTGATGACAACAGATATTATTTCCCAAAACATTCTAAAGTTATGAAAAAGATTTTGAAAGCAATTAAAATACTGAATCTTTATTTTTAAAAATGAAGATATACATTTTCATTTTAAATACCATAGATTGACTTTTCTGCATGAAATATGAGGTGACTGCACTCAGATTTCCTTCCACTTTCTTATATTTATTGCTTATTTGGTGAGATTTCATCATCAAATAGTATATATTTGTTTATTTTGTTTTTAATTCTTGGATTCTTTCATGTTTGAAAATGGTCAAAATTGCTTCTGGGGAATGGCTACTCTGTGCCCTATCAAAACTTTCTGTTTCTTCCCTTTTCACAAATTACATTCTTATTTATTACTATCAGTAAATTTTTGCCTTTTTCTTTTTCAAAAAAAAACCTAGTTTTAAATTCATTTTACTAAAGTATCTGGTAACATTGGGCTTGCATCCCAGACCATGGTTGGATCTTTAAGATTAGACAACTAATATTTAATCAGTAGTGAACATTATAATTGTGTAGAGAGCTTAAAAAATATATACAAGACAGGATCTCATTTGTAGAAGTTCAGATTCAGTAAGTCTGTGGTGTTACCCACTGGGTATTTTTTTAAAAGAAAAAAAGAAAGACAAGCAATAAATTCTACAGGTGATTTCTATACATACCTTTAACTGAGAACTAAAGTATTTAAGAAACCTTAAAGTCCTGATGAGTCACAAGTTAAAATGGAAAGGCAGTCCATTGTTAGATAAACTGTATTTTATCATGGTTGAGTTAGGGGCATACATCAACGTGATCCAGGAATTTAACTTTAGATCCTGTAAAGACTATGATTTCTTACAATGGTGATGGTTTTTGAGAAAAATAGAAACACAGGGGAAAAAAACCCTGAAGACTATGGTTTGTTAGATATTTCTTGTGGTGAAAAGAAAAATTTTCTACTGCTGTTTAAACAAACAGTATACTTTAATGGGATATATAAAAGTCACTGGATTGTTCCCTTTGAAAGATCTTTTGGTTATTAATATTTGGGGAAAACCTAATCTTTCAGTCTCTGTAATCTAACTTGAGACATGTAACGGATGTTAGGTAGCTGAAGTGCAGGCACAGAGCCTTGGTCGGAACTAAGCAGCCACTGTAAGTTTTGTCTTACAACTTACATCAATTATACGGTGGTAGATATACTACGAAATAATGAGCAAAAGCAAAAGTGGAAACTGAGTAACATCAAACTTCACCATGGTTAAGTTTAGAAATGGGGTGGTTCATCTACATTCATCAGTTACCTGGTGGAAATGGGAGATCTGGTATTTTGGTACCAAGTCAGAATATGGACCTTACTATTGTCTTTCATAAAGGTCTCAATATCACTAAATATCTTGACTAACCTTGTATTTTCTGCAGCAAATTTAGTGCTTTTCCCTCTAGTTCTTTAAGAGTTACAGTATCAAGGGAAATATTGTCCAATAACTGGGAACGCTGATCTTCTAAATGAGGAACTTCATGAGTTACCACAGTAGATAAGAGTTGATCTTGCAAACCTTGGAATGTTACCGTGAAGTTGATCATAGTAACAAAGTTAGAAACTGATGGATGAAAATGGGGGTTGTCTATGGCTGTAGACAAATACAACCTAAACATGAGAAAGGCACCAGTTATTCAAAGAACATACAGAGAAAAAAAAAAAAAAAAAAAGAAACCAGTTCATTTAAGAATACAAAAAATACTTTTCCTGGAAGTAAACAAGATTAATTTTTAGTGTCACTCAAATTTGTACACAAAGTAGGCTCTCAATTTATACCATGTGAATACATTTGCTATTTAAGACTGAAAAAATACAACCATAAATTATGTCCACACTATATTTGGTTTATGAGTAAGGACAGAGTAAAGAAAAATGCCAAATAGTAGAAGTTTTGACTTGCCACCAGTTCATTGTAAAGACTGCGGTTTTTATCCTGAGCAAGTGGGAAGCTAGTGGAGGACTTGAGGAGAGGAGTGACCTGATCCTTTTTAACTGATCTCTCTGGGAGTTATCACAAGAGTAGCCTGGGCAGAGGGGGAGGGGAGCCAGGCACACAGGGTGGTATAAGAGACATTGGAGACTCACAAGGAAGGAGGGTGGGAGGCGGTGAGGGATGAAAAATTACCAATGGGATACAATGTATACTACTCAGGTGATGGGTAATACCAAAAGCCCAGACTCCACCACTATACAATATATACTTGTAACAGAATTCAACTTGTACCTCCTAAATCTATTAAAATTAAAAAAAAGAAAGACCAAAAGTATGTATAGTACACAATTTATAAATAATAATAAAATTTCACTATCTCTTTATTGTAAATTCCATATAGCCAGTTGATTCTCATAGAACACTTCCATTGATTTCTGCCAAACTCCTATATCCATAGTCAGCCTATGGTTTGACAATAGAAATTGTATTCCAATCCACTAACTTTTTTCCCCAATAAACTTACTGTCATTAACAACAACCAAAGGAGTCACCGTTACTTGGTTAGGAGTCAGCCTGTTAGAATTCCTATGAAGAAGTTAATCCCTAGGCTAGAGATTGTTAGTCTTCTAATTTCCCTTGCTGATTACTTGCTAGCCTATTGGCAATCCTTTGATTATGAATTGACTTCCCTGTTGCTTTGTCTACAAGGAGAGAATACACATTAACAACTCAAATATCCTATTTTCTCAGGAATCATATTTTTGTGGTAATCAAATTTGACTATCTGAGAGGTGTCTGGAAAGCATCCAGCCAAATAGAGACATTTATTGTATTAACAATGGCCGAATAGTTTCTGGACAGGCCTGTATAACTGCTTTGTGAAATTGGCTAGTAGGAGCTGGTTTCCTGGAGTCCCATTACTGCTGGGAACATGGATGCAATGTTTTTGCTTCCCTAGGCAAAGTCTCTTTTTGCTCTAGATATCAATTATGGATTTTTTTTTAAGCAGCAGAAAATTTTCTTGGCCAAATAAAATGTTAGGCAAATAGATCAAATAGAGCTCCTCAGGATCAAGTAGGGCCAGGTTTCCTGCTCGTTGCCCTCTCTGCATAGCTTCTGAGGAACCTTTACCGAGTCCACAGGCTTCATCATGCGCAGTGTGAAGGTACTGGTTTGGAGTGAACTCATAAGTAAACATCTGTTCTCTACTCTGTATACTGATGAGTGTGTCAACACAAAACCGAAAAGAACATTCCAAATACAGTCTTACTTTTTCCTTCAATATTATCTTTAAAAAATAGACATTTGATTCAGTTTAACTAGAAGAGACATTACCTAAATTTGGGATTGTATTCAATCTCAGAATCATCAACTCTTATGAAATATTGTCCTCGTTTCTGATAGATATCCTTCTTCAAAATTGCCTTTAAACCAGGAGCTAATGTTTCCTGGAGATTCTGAAAAACCCAAGAAACAAAAATAAGAAAAATCACCTTAAAACAAATTGGTTGAAAAGACATAGCATTTAAAAAAGGGCTTCTCTTAGAGACAGGTCTAAAAGAATTGAACATTGAAAACTCACTGTATGTACGTATATATGTATGTATGTTTCATTATTTTTTCCCTTAAAACTTGTAGTTTTTATGCTCAGTGCATACAACACAGGTGTCAGCTGTATAGAAATATAGAAATAAGAGATTAAGCCATATTGCCCAAATACCTTCAAGATGACACTTCCTCCTGTTTTCATAGCATTTTCAATTTTTTTGGTGTAACTGCTATCTTCAATGGAGAGCTCCTGCAGCCTGGACCCTTCCATCTGACGGATCCAGCTGTGTGCTTGCTTGTGTGGGTCGATCAGCAGTGGCCACTGCTGGCAGTTCTTGATCAAGATGGCATTCTCTGTTGAATGCTGACCAAGAGGTAGCCCTTGATTATGCCATTGGCTGATCTGGAATGAAATCATTAGGACTTTAACTATTTCATAAACTTCTTCACATCTTTGGTATCTTACAGGGTACTAAACAATCCTACAGGATCATTGCCTTTAGAAATTCAAATAATCTTTAAAAGGACTAAAGAAGTGACTAATCTAAAGCAACTTCGATATGAAAGTTTTGGTAAGGTGAGTAATTATTCACTAAATTATAGTTTTCTGTTCATCAGTAAGGACCTTTATGATGTCCATCACAACAAAGATACTGTGAGACAAAAAAAGAAATGTAAGATAGAGCACCCGTTTCCAAGACTATTAGACTCTGATGCATCTATGAAACATGTAATAATATATGATTATACAAACATAATCATAGTTACTCTATTTTGTGCCTGCCACCTGCCAAGCGCATATATTCATTATCTAGTGAAATTACTATAATGAGCCTCATTTCTCAGATGGGAGAACTGAGGCTGAGTTAAGTACTTGCCTATAGTCTTACTGTCAGAACATGAGGAGGAGCTATGATTTGACTGAGAAGCTGACTCCAAGCCTGATAAGTGTCTCACTCTTTTCCTGCCACTCCTATTTCATGGCAGTATCAGCAGGTTGGGAGAAAAAGGCCGAGAAGGCCTGTGGAAGTAAGAGAAGGAATAGGACACCAGTAAACTTGCCAGCCAAAGACAGCAAGGGGTTCTTTGGGAGAAGCCAAAGATACTTTTCAGTTTTGGAACACAGGAAAAAGGTTTTTTGTTTAAGCCTAAGAAGAATTGCATGCTTTCAGCTTCAACATAAAAGGAAATAGAAAAGATGATGAAGAATCCTACAAAGTACAAGCATTCCTGTTGATTGGGGTGTAGACTGCATTTGAACACAGGCAAAGAAGACAGGAATAAATGTCGGTGTGGTGAGAGAAATACACCCCAAGCCCACTAGCAAAGTAGAGTTTCTATTTTCAAAAACATATCATTCTCCTGACTTTTATGCTTTTCTTTATTTTACCTAAGTATGTATTCCTAAACACGATAGTTTAGTTTTGCCTATTTTTGAACTGTAGATAAGTGAAATCTCATATCTTTTTTTGGTGTCTGGCTTCAACCATGTTGCTGTGTAGCTGTATTTATTTATTCTCATTGCTGTAGAGTTACCAAAATACTTTGGGGAAAAGATCCAAGACCCAAAATATACACACATCCCAAATCCAAATCACAAATAACAGCCACTTAAGTGGATAATAGGAATATGTTATTACCTCATAATTTTGTCCCATGACTTTAATTAAAGAAAAGTTGGAAGACAAAGAAATGCCATTTTCAATGCAAAAATTCTCCCATTTATTCACAATCAACTGGCGAAATTCTGGTGTTAAAACTCCACTGTAGACAATGCATGCTGCTGAAAGAAGTATGTCACCCAAAATTCCTTGCAATTTGTTGTCTATTTGATATATTATTTCTTCCCATTGAGTCTAAATGTTAAAATAAAAATGAGTTATTTGACATAAGATATACTATCACCAGATATTTTAAAAATGAATGGTCTCCAAATTGGACCCACCATTGCTATTACTACTACCGTTCTCAAGCTGTCGCTATATAAAAGTTAATAATAGAGAATATTTAAAAATGAACTGTTTTCTGAGAGGAACACCAGTCTTGTTCTTGGGTTGGTCAGTAGTGTCATATTTGCTAAGACAAACAGCCATTTCAAACCCTTCGTGTACTAAAGCAAGATAATTCTAAAAATATAAATTCATTATATTATTAATAATGTTCAGTAATAATAACAATATTTACTGAATCTTTGCCTATCTGCCATACAAATCTCCTTTGACACTTTCAATATCCTCTTAAGTGAACCTTATTGACCTCATTTTATTAATAAGATCAAGAAGGTGAAGTTTAGACAAGTTTAAAAACTTGCCCAAGATCACAAAGCTTCTGAGGGGTATATCTGGGATCTGAACTCATATTCTCTGGCTGTACAGCCTCTCTCTTCAATCATGTATATGCTTGACTGGTCAATAAATAAAGCATATTGAGCAAGAACCCTCTCTTCTGGAAGCTTAAAATCTGGAATAATGTGAATATTCCACTGCTTCTCAATATCCACACTTGGCTCTCAGGGACATCAGTGAAATTTTGAGGGCTATAATCTCCCTTTGATTGGTTTGATCTCATAACCTCCTTTTTGCTGCTCTTCTAAGACATGTATTTATTTGAGAAATTAAGCTAAATTAAAATTATCTTGAGAATTTTGTAACATCCCTTGAGATAGCTGCAATGTAACTAAACCAAGCTGACTAGAGTCAGCTTAAGTAGGGATTCAAATATAGAGAAGGCAGATGAATTATAGGAGAAATTAAAAGATGAGGTAAAAGGGGTCAGGAGATAGGCAGAACAAAATAAAATTTTCATTTTCCTTCCTAATGACACCTCCTCCCTTTTAGCCCTAACCATGTTTTATACATTCTGCTTGGATTGTTCTAGTGCTAGAAAAGGAAAAATAATGGTATACTCATTGAAATGTTACTTTGGGCCACATCAGAAAAAAGTCCTAGGAATAAGAGAAAATAACTTTGCATTGTTGTAGTCTGGTTACTTCTGTTTTAAGACTACTTGAACAGGATTTCTTTATTCTATCTTCATAGGAATATCTACTGATTTCAATAAGAAATTGGCTAGTAAGATAGTTTTATTAATAGAAGGTATATTATACAGCCTGCAGTGAAAATAACATCTTGGGGGGTGCTGAGCACCATAGAAATTGATGAAACAGATATAAAACCAAGGGAAGTCATGCCTTCTCATCTTCCAGGACAGTTAGTAAGACTGATGCATACTGCAAGCGCCTGCTGGCCATTTTTCTCCGCTGTGCTAATAGTTTATTTTTAGCAACAGTATCTTTGTAGGCTGCTTGCAGAAAGAGCAAGTGTTCTTCAACCTGAAAGGCAATTAATTTGTTATTGAGAAAAAAATCTTAACGCTCATCTTGCTTCATGTTCTGTAAATGACAGGTAAACTCTGAAGTACAGTGTGTAACCACTTCATTTTCACATATTAGAACATCCTCCTGGATGAAATGATCCCTTGATATTGAAATCTATGTTTTTTTAAATGGCTTCTTCCTTCCTCAATAGGCTTTTATAATTTCTTTTGTGATTTCTTCTTTGACTCTTTGGTTGTTTAAGAATATGTAATTTTCCAATTTTTTTTTTTTTTTGAGACAGAGTCTCGCTTTGTTGCCCAGGCTAGAGTGAGTGCCATGGCGTCAGCCTCGCTCACAGCAACCTCAAACTCCTGGGCTCAAGCGATCCTCCTGCCTCAGCCTCCTGAGTAGCTGGGACTACAGGCATGCGCCACCATGCCCGGCTAATTTTTTCTGTATATATTAGTTGGCCAATTAATTTCTTTCTATTTATAGTAGGGACGGGGTCTCGCTCTTGCTCAGGTTGGTTTCGAACTCCTGAACTCAAACGATCCGCCCGCCTCGGCCTCCCAGAGAGCTAGGATTACAGGCGTGAGCCATCGCGCCCAGCCTCCAATTTTTTTCTGTTATTGATTTTTAAACTTTATTCTATTGTGGTCAGAGAAGATACTTTGTAATCTGTTGAAACATTTTGTGTCCTAACATATGGTCTATCATGGAGAATGTTTCATGTGCCCTTGAGAAGAATGTGGATGATCTTGTTATCGGTTGGAGTATTCTGTATATGTCTGTTAGGCCTAGTTGGTTTACCGTGTTGTACAAGTTCTCTATTTCCTTGTCTTCTCTCTGGTTCTTCTATCTGTGATATCTTTCTAAATTCATGACTTTTGGTTTGTTTAAGCTTTCAAGTTTTTGTTTTTTTTTTTTTTTTGATTGACATTTAGTGACTAAAAATGTCCTGGAAAACAAGGCAGATTATCCAGGTTTTTTTTTTTTTTTTTTTTTTTAGATAGAGTCTCACTTTGTTGCCTGGGCTAGAGTGCCATGGCATTAGCCTTGCTCATAGCAACCTCAAACTCCTGGCCTCAAGCAATCCTTCTGCCTCAGCCTCCCACGTAGCTGGGACTACAGACATGCGCCACCATGCCTGGCTAAGTTTTTCTATATTTTTTAGCTATCCAAATAATTTCTTTCTATTTTTAGTAGAGATGGGGTCTCGCTCTTGCTTAGGCTGGTCTTGAACTCCTGAGCTCTGATCCACCCGCCTCGGCCTCCCAGAGTGCTAGGATTACAGGTGTGAGCCACCACGCTCAGCCAATCCAGGTTTTTAAATTCATTTTCAAAATGTTTCTAGTAATTGTTGTAAAAGAGAAACAGATACTTTCATTAAATTAAAAATTATTATTTCTTGAATGTCCTGTTTTTCCAAATTGTATAATGTTTAATGTTTTTTTCTTAAAATTTTGAAGGAAACTTTTCCTTTTGTGGGTCTATTCCATTCACTATTTTTTATGTGAAACAAAAATAGGGCTAATATTCAGTGTTATACACTATGCTGGCACAATAATTGTTAAAATGTTGACATATTTCTGTAGTGGTTGCTAAATGGTCCTGCCCCATGCTCCAGGGATCACCTCTATACCTACACACTGCCCAACTTGGCCCCATACTTTCTCTTCAAACTCAGCCAGAGGCCTCTAAGACTTTGCTCCTACCCTGTGACAAGTGTCTATTCTGATTGGTTGGTGCCTGTGCCACACTGGTTGCTAAATATTTTGAATAAAAACATATCACTTCTGGATAGAAATATTTTATAGATTAATAGTTAAGTGGATGGGGTTTAGAGTTAGACCTAGAATGTGGGCACCACTTACTTACATGTGAGTACCACATTTAGGTTAGAATGTGGGCACCACTCATTTAGTAGCTAGAGATCTTGAACAAATTTATTAAGTCTTTCAAATTATTTTCCCCAGTTTGAAGCATCTAATTCTGAGTGTTGTTTTGAGGATTAAATGACAAAATGTATATACAACACTAGCACAGTGCTGTGACATAGTAAGTGCTCAATAGATGATAGCTGCTATAAGAGCCTACCAAAATAAAACTATAGAGACGATAAGCTACAATAAAGTATTAGCAACAAAATGACATATCAAAATAAAGTAAATTCAGTTCAAATTTGTTTATTTCCTTTAAAAATCTCCAATAATTTTTATATATTTGAGTTTGTAAGAAAAGGCTACTGGGCCAGGCAGGTAACATAAATGATTGAAGTGTGTAGGGCTGATTATAGCCAAATAAGAAAGTTAGCCTAGGGTTGCCAGATCTGAGTTTTTAAAAGAAGATAGAAATTCAGACTTTAAATGAAATCCCCAGATTTTTAAATGCTGATAACTACATCAAAACATGGGGGTGAGGGGTGGGGAGACTGTATGGGCCAAAAGATGTCAATGGATTGAATTTGCCTGCTAGTGTGTCATCTCTAAAGTATATTACTTTATCCACTCTCAAAAATGTAGGTGAGCTAAATAGGTGACCGGCATACCAATTTTAATTCTAGGTCTCATATTGATAATGATACTCTTAATTTAAAATCAAGATATTTAAGAAATAATCATTCCTTTACAAAGCAACAAGTAATTGATATAAACAAGTTAAGTACAATTTTTTAAGAACACAGATTGATATGTTATAAAGATCTCCTGGGAGAAATTTGGTAAAATGGTAAATTAAAATATTATTAAAATAATAATAATTAACATCATTGAATGTTTTATTATGTGTCAAGCACTAAGAGCTTTATATATAGCATTTACAATATTTACTTAATCCTCACAATCTCTTCACTACCTATATTATTCAGTGCCATCTTATCTTTAACTGATAAACTCTAATGATATAATGACTTTTTCCTGATGTTTTTGTTTAGTTTATAATGGTATTGAGAATTTAACTAGTAAAAAACTCTTCTTACCAACTGCAAGCCTCTTTGTTTTTCGGCCAATCTTTGTCGTGCAATTTTAAGGACATTTTGAGCTTCAGCTACTTGGATTTGTTTAGGGCCCACCAGCTTAAAGAGAATGTCAGAACATTAAAGAGTCAAAAACAAATCAGGTTTGTTGTTAAAAATGTCACTTATATTTGAAAGACATTTATAAGAGGGGGTGTAGCAATATGGCCAAATAGAAATCTCCAGAGATTGTCCCTCTGCACAAACAACCAAACAACAAATTCAACAACTGTCCGTGCAAGCGAGCACCTCCAGAAAAACCAAATATTAGGTGAGTGATCACACTACCTGATTTTAACATTATAAAAAAGCACTGAAGAGGCCAGAAAAGACAATCTTGCATTGCCTCTGCCACCCTCCCCCAGCCCCTGGCGGTGCTGTGCCAGCACACTGAGTGGAGAGAGAATCTCTGTGCCTAGGGGAAAGTGAAGTGACTGTGGGACTTTGCAATGAAACTCAGGGCCACCCTGGCACAGGGGAACACAGCACAGGGCAGAACTCTGCCAGTGCCCGCGGAGGGAGCATTTAGACCAGCCTGGCCAGAGGGAAATTCTCCGCTTCAAAACCTGTGTTCGAGTGAGTCCCACCACCAGCTAAGAAAAAGTGGCCTGGAGCCTAGACTAATTTCTTACAGCAATTGGGCCACAAAGGCTGTAATCTTTGGGCGATTCCTGTGGCAGTGCTGGCTTGGAGCCAGTGGACTTGGGGTGCATGTGACCCAGTGAGACACCAGCAGGGATGGCCAAGCCAGTGCCTGTGTCACCACTCCTCCAATCACAGGCAGCACAGCTCAGGAGAGTCTTCTTCCACTTGAGGAAAGGAAAGGGAAGAGCTCAGAGGACTTTGTTTTGCAACTTGGGTACCAGGTTAGCCACAGTAAAATGAGACACCAAGCAGACTCCTGAGGTCCCTGAGTCTAGGGCTTAGTTCTTGGATGGCATTTCTGGACCCACCCTGGGCCAGAAGGAAACATGCTGCCCTGAAGGGAAGGAGTCAGTCCTGGCAGGATTCACCATCTGCTGACTAAAGAACCATGGGCTTTGAACAAACATTAAAGGTAGCCAGGAAACAGTCACCACAGACTTTGGGTGAGACTGAGCTGGCTTTAGGTATGACTCAGTGCTGGGGGCCACTAGGCAGTGCTCACATCACTCCTCCCCCAACTCCAGCAGCCCAGCACAGAGAGTGAGGGAACAGAGTGAGAGTTTTTACCTGGTAATCCAGATAATGCTCTTGTATCTTACCCAAGTCCACAAAAGCAGGTGGAGTCCACCAGGAGTCTGCAAGAGTCACAGAATTCCTGGGCCTGGGGCACCCCCAGTGCTGATATGGCTATAGTGACCAAAGACTTAGATTACAACACTTAATTCCCTTTGAATATTGGAAAAGTTTTCTCAAGAAGAATGGGTTCAAACAAGCCCAGACTGCAAAGATGAAAATAAATACCTAAGTCTTCAATGCCCGGACATTGACAAACATCCATAAGCATCAAGAACATCCAGGAGAACATGATCTCTCCAAATGCACTAAATAAGATATCAATGACCAATCCTGGCGTGATGGAGATAGGTGACATTTCAGATAAAGAATTCAAAATAGCTGTCCTGAAGAAGCTCAATGAACTTCAATGCAACACAGAGAAGGGACTTCTGAAGCCTATCAGAGAAATTTAACAAAGAGCTTGAAATATGAAATAATAAAAAAAATCAAGCAGAAATTCTCAAGCATAAGAATTCAACTGACAAACTGAGAAAAGCATCAGAGTCTCTTTAACAACAGAATTGACCAAGCAGAAGAAAGAATTAGTGAGCCTAAAGACAGGCTATTTGAAAATACACAGTCAGAGAGAAAAAAGAATAAAAAAGAAGGATTTCAAGACAAAAACTTTAAAAAGAGACAAATAAGGTCAGTATGTAATGATAAAGGGGTCAATTCAGCAAGAGGATATAACAGTTGTGAATATATATGCACCCAATACTGGAGCACTCAGATATATAAAACAAATATTATCAGAGCTAAAATAGAGAGATAAACCCTAATACGATGATCATTGGAGACCTCAACACTCCACTTTGAACACTGGACATATCATCCAGACAGAAAACCAACAAAGAAACATTGGACTTAATCTACACTATAGATCAAATAGACCTAATTGATATTTATAGAACATTTCATCCAATAGCTGCAGAATATGCATCTTTTTTTTTTTTTTGGAGACAGAGTCTCGCTTTGTTGCCTAGGCTAGAGTGAGTGCCATGGCGTCAGCCTAGCTCACAGCAACCTCAAACTCCTGGGCTCAAGGATCCTCCTGCCTCAGCCTCCCAAGTAGCTGGGACTACAGGCATGAGCCACCATGCCCGGCTAATTTTTTCTATATATATTAGTTGGCCAATTAGTTTCTTTCTATTCATAGTAGAGACTTGCTCTTGCTCAGGCTAGTTTCGAACTCCCGACCTCTAGCAATCCACCCGCCTCGGCCTCCCAGAGAGCTAGGATTACAGGCGTGAGCCACCGCGCCCGGCCAGAATATGCATTCTTCTCCTCAGCTCATGGATCATTCTCAAGGAGAGACCATATGTTAAGCCACAAGACAAGTCTTAAAAAAAAAATCAAAAAACCTGAAATCATACTAAGTATTTTCTCTGACTACAATGGAATAAAACTAGAAATCAGTAACAAGAAGAACATTGGAAACTATACCAATACATGTAAGTTAAACAATATGCTCCTGAATGACCAGTGGATAAATGAAGAGATTAAGAAGTAAATTAGGCCGGGTGTGGTGGCTCATGCCTGTGATCCTAGCACTCTGGGAGGCTGAGGTGAGAGGATTGCTCCAAGTCAGGAGTTCGAGACCAGCCTGAGCAAGAGCGAGACCCCATCTCTACTAAAAATAGAAAGAAATTAGCTGGACAACTAAAAATATATAGAAAAAATTATCTGGGCATGGTGGTGCATGCCTGTAGTCCCAGCTACTTGGGAGGCTGAGGCAGGAGGATTGCCTGAGCCCAGGAGTTTGAGGTTGCTGTGAGCTAGGGTAATACCATGACACTCTCGCCTAGGCAACAGAGCGAGACTCTGTCTCAAAAAAAAAAAATTTCCTGAAACAAATGAAAATGAAAACACAGCACATCAAAACCTATAGGATACAGCAAAAGCAGTAATAAGAGGAAAGTTTACAGCAATAAGTGCCTACATCAAAAAAGTAGAAAAGCTTCAAATATACAACCTAATGATGCAACTCAAAGAACTAGAAAAACAAGAGCAAGCCAAACTCAAAATTGGTAGAAGAAAAGAAGTAATAAAGATCAAAGTAGAAATAAATGAAAAATTAAAACAAAAAATACAAAAGGTCAAACAAACAAAAAGTTGGTTTTTGAAAAGATAAACAAAATTGACATACCTTTAGCCAGGCTACGAAAAAAAGAGAGAAGACCCCAAAGGAATAAAATCATAGATGAAAAAGGACATTATGACTGATATTGCAGAAATCCAAAGGATCATTAGAGACTACTATGAACAACTATATAAATTGGAAAACTTAGAAGAAATGGATAAATTCCTGGACACATACAACCTACCAACATTGAACTAGAAAGAAATCCCAAACCGAATAAACCAATAGCAAGTAACGAGATAGAAGCAGTAATATAAAATCTTCTATCAAAGAAAAGCCCAGGATCTGATGGCTTCACTGCTGAATTATACCAAGCATTCAAAGAAGAACTAATACTAATTATATTTAAACTATTCCAAAAATTGAAGAGGAGGGGATACTTCCAAACTCATTCTACACAGCCTATATCACTCACCCTGATACCAAAACCAGACAAAGACACAACAAAAAAAGAAAACTATAGGCCAATATCTCTGATGAACATAGATGCAATAATCCTCAATAAAATACGGCAAACTAAATTCAACAACATATTAAAAAGATTATTCTTGAAGATGGCAGACGAGAAACACCGCCAGACAGAATGTCTCTGCAAAAAAAAGATAGTTTCTAGAAGAAATTAGAAGAAAGAAGCAAGCTGATGAGCATACATAGGACAAGGGTCGGAAGGAGGGGTACCGGAGACTATGAGAAACTCCACGGGAGGAGGTTGCAGAGGAGAACTGGAAGAAGAGACCTCCCAAGAAGCTTGGAGACCAGCATTAAGGGTAGGTAGAGAGGTTAACTTTCCCCTCCCTTGCATCTCAGACTGCTAGTGGGTTCCCCAGTGGGAGGAGAGACCTGTGGACACCAGGCCAGATACAGCCATCGCCAGTGAGTGGTGAGCCTGTAGTGGACGCGGCACCAGGCTCCCAACCCTCTCAGGGCACCTCCCTGTGCACAGACCTGAGCCACTTGGCAGGCGCCATATTACTCCATTCTCCCCTTCCCCTTCCCTATCTGTGGCTGCCAAGAGAGACAATATAGCCACCAGCTGGAGACATCTCCAGGGAACAGGACCTTCCCTTTTGGGGCCCTACAGCTGACTGAGGGGCACTCAGACGGTGAACTCCCTACCCGCCAGCCCTCCCAGGTGCTGCTGGCCCAGTGATTCCAGGAGATCAGGGTAGACCCTAAGGCTAAGAGACATCAACCCAGCTTGGGCTCCCTGTGGGTGAATTGGGACTGGCACTCCTCTCCCTGGTGGGGTCAGGGTTTGAATTCCAGGGCCCAGAGGTCTGACCTGCAGAGCCCAGGGCACAGAAGGGATATCCATGAACAGCCTACTGAGGTGTGTGTGCCTTCAGGGGCAGATCAGCATCCTAGAGGGCAACCCTCCTCCTAAGGGGGGCCGTGCGCCCAGCCCAGGTGGCAACCCCATGCAGGGAACCTTGCAGCTGGCATCACAGCCAAGGGAGGCACGGTGGTGTGATGTCTGGACTTCTGACAGAGGCCCAGGAGAAGCTGCAGAGTTGGGGAGGGTGGAAAGAAGCGAGGCCCGCTCCAGACTACGGGTCTCAGACAGCCCCGCCCCCACACACAGATATTCTGATTCAGCGGGGTCATTCCAGCCCCTTCCTGGCAGCTTTTCCCGGAAGCAAAGAACAGAACTTTGACCCCT